ATAGTACAAGATTGTTAAGAATGACTTGAAAACATGAAAGAAATGTAGTCTAATTTTAATTAACAATAATGGATTGTTGGCTAACAGTAGAATTCTATTTGGTACTCATAGTTTTAATGTACCTCCATTCAAGGGTTAGTATTCACGTCAGGACCTGGACCAAATATTTTTCACTTCAAACACCGTGTTATCCACAAAACTATTGAATCGAATTACCCACTTGCTCGTGAAATGTATAGGCAAACCCTTAAAATAAAATATCAATTTTTTGAACTTTACTCAGACAAGACATAAATAGCATAAAAGAGAAAACTAACTGCTATCATAAGTTAGTTGGGACCGCATTAATGTCCTAAACTGACCTAATTTTGAGCTTGAACTGTTGATAACTTTTAAACTGAGATAAGTCATTGTACTATTGGTTTTCAGTCTCAAACTGTTCTCCAACTAATGTACACTTCTGATGAGATCTATCATTAACTATTTCAAAATCTTTTCAAAGTTAACCTCATAAAACAAGATGAATAAATTTAACTAAAAATAGACAACTATCCTGGTTGAAATCTCATTTATTTGAAAAATAATTTGTGTTGTAAACAGAAAAACTCTGTGGTAATCTAATATTCGGTAGCTTTTCAAACAAAATCTTTTAGAATTTAATAATAACAAAAGTATATTCAAAGTGATGCGTAAACTTTTCAGAATAACATCAGTTATTTGAAAATAAGTTGAGTAAACCTTCAGTCTTATTATTATTGAATATTAGATAATATGAAAAATAAGGATTAATTCTACAAAGAAAAAGATATTTTTGCGTAGTAAATAATTTTTAGGATATTTATTTAATTCATTCAAGCGGAAAATATAAATATTTTTTCACAATAATTATGTTACTTTGAATGTAGATGACGTTTATTTATGATACAATTTAATCATACTATTTTTTAGTCTTACTTTACGAAATAAATTGTATATAATCAAGACTGAAATCGCAAATCAGTCTACTTTTTATAAGCATGAATTTCACTGTTTATTCGTGAGTAATTGGTTTTATAAATTTTATTTTTTTCAAATGGAGGAAAACCTTGAGGTCTGTGACTATGAAACTAAGTGAGAATCTTCAATTTGAAATGATTTGGGTTATTCCGTAGTTGATTTTTAGACTAAAATTTGATGAGTTTAAGTTGGCAGATAGGGATCCTATTCAGATTACCTCTATGTAGACAGCATATCCGTTTAATAAATGAGTGACTATTTGGAATCAGTTGCTAAGTGGATAACGAAGTGACATTTGAAGAAAACAGTGCTGAGTTCAAGCCCCGGAGTGAACATCGGCTATGAGATGTAGGTACACCCATCTGATGAGTCCAGAATAGTTAGAAACGCTTTTCCTAGATCTCATAGCTAGCTATGTTCTAGCTATTCTACATAAGTGACAGTACTTTGAAATGTACGCTAAGAATTTCTTCCCTAAAAGTCTTAAAAGTTAAGATAATATTAACTACAGATAATTATCAACCATTACAAAACTCAGGTCATCGCCTTCCTGGCGATCAACTATGTTCAGCATGATATGGAGCATTAGATTTTTTTTACAATTTTTTTATATTCGACTTTCTTTCTAGTTAATTATCAATGGGCATTTAAATCAGTATTTAAATGAGCGCATTTTTTGACTAGAGTTGACATCATGTTTTACAGTGAAACTTATCATAATGAAAAATCTGTGTAACTCGTCAACGTTTTTTTGTTACTGCCATTTTTCTAATCCCACTGATGTTATCAATGTCGGCTCTAGAACTGACTTCTTCACTCTCGAACTCGAAGTACTTGATGGTCTGTGTGAAATTTGTGCATTTATATTCACGTAAATAGAGGCCATACTGTTTCAAGTTTGACAGAACAGTATCAAGTCTACAGAACAGTTTATCCAGAGGAGCTCCTGTAAGAATGATGTCATCTAAGTATGAAGTCACCTCTGTTGTCCTATCTATCACAATTTCCATGATTTGTTAGAATATTACTGGGTCTGTATTCGAATCAAAAGGCGAACGCTGATAGGAACCTTTATGAGTATTGGTATTCAAGAAATGAATAGACCTTTGAAACAGTTAGTGTGGAAGCAGCCTTACGAAGTTTCAATCTATACACCCATCGATTGTTAAGTAGAAAAAAGCTAATGAAAATTAAGCACACCAGAAAAGTATATATAAACATTTTCACAACAACAGTATTAGAAAATTAATTTTGAAAACACTAGTTAATGGCCTAATTGATGAAGATTGATACCACCTAAGTTAATATGTAAATGTTGTTGCTCTGACTTCACGAAAACTGTTTGGAACTGAAGAAGTCTAGCTCTAAACAAAGCTAAAACGGGAAAAAGATTTAAACTGATGTAATCACATGTTGATGATAATCCTGTCGAAGGAGTATTAAAATCGTCAAAATATTGTTTAGTTCACTGTTGTAAATACTTTGACAATAAATGTTGCAATCGAGCTACCCTAGCCTAATTCTGACTGATCAATTAAATGGTGTCCTTTATTTCACATTAAGAAAAGTGTTTAGATGTTGCCTTGAAACAAAAAAAACATTAATTAATACTGTTGTTTATTTCTTTGAATAAATCAAAATTCGATTGTAATTTATATTTAACGCCTTTTTGTTTTCATTGTATACATCAAGATTAACATATAGAATACAGACATATCATTATTATTATTGATATTATTATTATTATTATTATCAAATTGTGTACAGAAAGTTTTGCAGCTTATTCATCAAGATGTTATGAAAGAATTCCTAAATTGCTGTCTACAAATTTATAAACATTAACAATAATAATTATGATAATGAAACATCACTCAATCCATCAATCAACTCTCTGAACTCAAAAGATTAAGAAGAGAAAAAAGCACACAACAACACAACAACAGAACAATGATAGCAAATTGCAATAATCTGTCTGTAATATTATATCATGTACAATGTATGTATTGTTTAGTTTGATTAATTCATCCATCCGTCCATTCATTTCTCAAAATACAATAATACTTGATCAATATATATATATATATATATATATATATATATATATATATATATTGATGTGTCATTCAGTTTATTTTTCCTGAATTGTACAGTGAACAGACATTACTGACACTAGTTCTGTGATATTGAATGAGAAATTGATTAAGGAATTGTGAAAAAATTAGTATTGCAATCATAAGTCAGTTTCATTGCTTGATCATTGTTTTTGTAAAATATTAGTATTGTTTAAGATTGTTGATGAATAGGGTTGTACATGTAGAAATCCTTGAAAATAAATATTAAATCTATTAATTAGTGCATAGAAAATTAATACAAATTAGTTTTGCTGAAAATGTTTTCAATGAATATTGGTTATTGCATCAAAAAAAGAACGAAATTCAGTAGCTATTTTTACTTTTGTCTGGGAAAGTGATACTTTATGATGAAGTGTGATTTAAGACAGACAATTTACTTTAAATGTGTCTTTTTAACGATTCAATTTTCACTGGGAAAATTCTTATCAGACCTCTAAATCTAGTGATCGCTATGAATGCACCAAACTAATTGTTGCTTATTGTTGAATTGTTTTCTTAAAAGAGATCTAGGAAGAGAAAGATATACACGATTGACTTATTATTATTGAAAATCCTCTTACAACATTTACTTACTGTCAACAGCTAGTGTTTCGATGGCCTAATGGATAAGGCGTCGATTTCGGGAGCAGAATATCGAGAGTTGCAGTCCATTTGGAGATGTATAATCTAGTACGAGTCTAGATTAAGTTTTTTGAGTAGTAACAAGCACTATACTAACTTATCGCTTATTTTCGCTCAACACTGAAACCAAGATATCAAAAGATATTTATTGTACGAAAAGTTCTTTTAAGGGTAATCATTATATTGTACTAAAGTAACTGAGATCTAATAATGGAAATATCGCTGCTACAGAGTATAGTAAAAATAATATAATACACAACAGAATTCCATTGATAACTTGGTCTTTCTGAAAATAATAGATTCAATAAGTCCCGTATTTTGTTTGATCAAGATGCACTATCGATCAATTAGTTTTATTATTAGCTAACATAATAATAAATACAACTGAATTGAACGAATACGTATACATATTTGTATATATGTATATCTGTTAAGTGAAGGCATCCAAAACACAAATTGTACATGTAGTTTTTGTACATATTTGTAGTTAAGTAGAAATTATGCCAGAACTCAAGTAGTTTTGCTTGGTCTTCCAAACACTATTGAAGAAAGAATCTAAGGTTAGGTGTTCTAAACCTACGATGTATAGAATTCATTGGGTTTTTGATATTCTTTCATTAGACCCATTGACATAATGTGCTGAATGCATTGATCAGTTGCGGCGGCTTACGTTTCGTGATTTTGATCGCTGTACGTTGTTTCAGAATTTATGAACGGTACTTTCTTTAGAACTATGAAGGTGGTCAACTGAGGTCTACTTTTTGAAATGGTCAACGATACTACTAGCTACTTCATTGATTTCACGTATCATGCAATAAAACTGAAACATGAATCGCTTCGTCAACCAATTATAACAATGCTAATTCAGAAATGCAGAACAACTCTAATAATTATCAAAAGCCAAACCGATTCAAGAAATCGATGAAGGTATACCGTATGACGAATGCATTCACAGAAACATTCGAACGAGATAACCAGCAAATGTGTTTTGAAAATGTTGAAAAACGTAGATGTTGTACAACCATCGTTTAAGGAAATGAATTACAGCCTCAATAGTTCGGAAAAATCTTTTCATAGCTTTGTAATTGACTCCTATTTGTGTTTCAATAGAATTTATATCATTGGCAAAATTTATATTTAACGTATGTATAATTGTAAAAATAAAACATTGTTTTTAAAAAATAAATAATATGTTGTCTTACTTTTTACAAATTAATATTTATTGTCATTACATTAGTAAGAATTTGTATTTCACACAGAGAAAGCTTTACACCAACTTTCGAATTCTCGACTAAAAGAGAAAAACGAAACAACAAGTAGTACTTGGCATTTTAGAAGAAATTTCTTAAAAAAATAATCTGAATAATTTCAAAATAGAGGTAATCGATTATCAATGAAATCAGTATGGACTTTGTTTGATTTTAAACGAACTATACGTGTATTTTGTATACCAAGGAGACTTAGAATTGATTAAAAGTATTGTGACTGGACAAAAAAGTATACGAAACTTCTTCATTTTCCATTTGATATATGGTTCCATATTGTGTGAAAATACTTTTTGAAAAATATTCTCTATTTTTGAAGCGTTTCATGTCATTCATTGAAAACAGCTAAAATTAAAACAACTAAATTTGGGTTGGTTAAAAATGTACAAATGAAATTCTTTTTTAGTTTAGTCGTTTTTATTTACAACCAAAAAGCCATGCGTTGTCTAAGATTTTTACCGACCCAGTAAAGTAGTTGAAAACAGAAGTACGCAATATGTTTATCATGAATTCAGTTCGATTTAATTTGACTGTTTGTTCTGTCATAGTGTCAAACCGCACCATAAATAAGCTGACGAATGTGCTTAACAAACCTAATTTACGAAGAAACTGAGACTATTTGTAAGCTTTGTAAGAATAGAAATGTTTTCTTCATAAACGGTAATAGCTGTCATTTGTCTATCTTATAATCTACTGTGTTGAAACTAGGGTTTATTGACCAAAGTTTCTAAAAAAAATTCAGTTTGCATTTGAATCTTATAGCAGTTATACGCTCATCAATTGATATGCTTTCAACTGTTACGAGTTCACCTTAATCGGTAAATGAGAGAGAAGACGAATGATCCAGTGACACCATAGGCTACTCTAATCCGAGTGTCCGAAGGCTCAGAAAATCAAGGTTGACAAGCACACAAATCGAGCTTATTTATACATGATAGAAACGTCCCTGGGAGAGTCACAAAAATAGCGTACTAAAATAATTCATCAGCCAATGACAGTCAAGGATTTTCCTAGTGGGAAATGTAATTTCGGGGTCATAAGCAACTTATGCGCGAAAACATAAAATATCTTAATTAGGACCTTTTTCAAGTGATAATGGGTATCTAACCTCCCTAACGAGCATCTTATCTCATTACCTACAGTGTTAGTAGCTTCTCTATGCGTAATAACTTAATAGCACAGAGCCTTTACATTATTTACCTAGGAATGTTTGCACATTAAGATCTATTATCCAAATATAAATAGCCGTTAGTGATTTCAAAAAGCCTTCAAAAATATTAACACTTTCATCTAGCCAATGTAGATATACATCGAGAAATATCAGATAACAGTTTGACACAGTATGTTCATTACAAATTTTACTTTTTATGAGTGACAGTTGCTGGAGTGATCAAGGTCTGTAACTTGACTAGAAATATTTCGACTTATCGTATGATTTAATCAATTTTTAATTGGCTAGTTAGATGGAATTAATCGCTGTATATACAATTTAAAGTAGAAATCTTTTAAAATAAACTTATAATACTAGGTAAACAATAAATAACTTGTTTGACCGATGTAATGAAACTCATAATTTTTACAAGTTAATGTACAAATGACGCTGCAAAATAATGCTAAAATTAAACTAGTTTACAAAAGAAAACGGAACTGATGAAAAGAAACAGTCTAAGTTTTTGTTGAAAATGGATTTACCGAATCTAGATGGCTGTTTTGCTTTAGTATGAGACCCCGATAGATAAATTTTCAGCTTCATACAATTCAAGCCGTTCAATACCATTTACAGTAACCGATTCATTCCCTAAACAGTTGGATTATTTTGTTTAATGTTGCAAATGTGTCATATTCGTCGTGATACATGGTTTTCAATCATGTTGATGCTGTGAATATGTTATACTACGTTATCACACGCTAAGATGAAATCGCTAACCAATGATACGTGTCTATATGAAAACAGTGTAAAATTTAAACTCCTATGCAAATATTTTGTTTCACTTGACTCACTTATCACTAGATGAAAGAATTAGTTCCGTACACGTTCCATTATGGCTACCAAGCAGTTTTAAGTAGATAATGTTGGTTTTACAATTAGTTAATGTACTTGGCTGTGATGTACTAAATATACTGGATTTTATATGCCTATTTTTTTCTTGACTAAAGCGTAATTGATAACCACTTAGACTACTTCCAGATCTGGATAAATTAGTTGTTTTACTTGTGTTCACATTACCGATAACAATGGAGTTTGTTGCTTTGGTTGTAGTAGTGGTAGTAATATCTGTATGATTAGTAGAAATATTTGACAAATTATTGACATTTTGATTGTTATCATCCAAACTGAGATAGTTTCTATTCGATTCATTTGTTTCTATTTGACTGTGAATTCGATTTGTCTGATGTTGATTATCATTGTTATTTGAATCGATCACGTTTTTAAAATCAACAGTAGTTCTAAAGTGTCTATGATGTTTTGCTTTACTTTTATCATCATTCACATCTTCTTCTGATCCTGGTGAAAGTAATCGCCTGGACTTTTGCGGAACAACTTTGAGATCATCATTCGGAGGATCAATATGACATAAAGGTTCAGCAGAAATAGAAGTTTTAGGATTTTTTAGTAAATTAGTATTAGGATTAAATAGATCACCACTGTGTTGAACCAATGCTTGTATTGATGCACGGTCACAATAATCCAAAACAAGAAAACGTTCATTTCTGTTCGGGAAAAAATGTATAAACAACACGAAATCAACAAAATTAATGCTACATAGATGAATAAATCATCAGACCAGCTAGCTTTCCATGTGGAAAACTCAGATACACATGAGAAGGATTACGTACCAACAGGATTTCAACTGCATTAAGATCATTCCTAGTACATGTTTTTCCTCATACGTGAAGCTCGCAGATACCTTTTCATGTGTATGAATTTCGAGGTGTACTTGATTGTGAAGTAATCATAATACCGAAATGAAAAATTTGTATTACTTCCCAGATTCGGTGAATACATGCTCAAAATATTACTGTGTTTTTATAAGGATAAGTCATAATGCAGTTGTTATAAATGTACTGGATATCTTACAGTAGAATAGTTGTCTTCATTCTCACAAACTACTTTTATATTTTTTGCGGTGGAGGTTATCTACTTAATGCTTTCTTCTGACCATTTAATAAGAAAATAGAGCAATTTTTAAGGTCTCACGTGAAGTAGACAATTTGGATATTTTCTATATATGACACTTGACTTTTTCCTTATTAGATCTAACAAAGATTAAACTGTCTCGTTAAGACTACGAAAATAAAATTCCTCAAAGATAGTGACTATATCTTTCTGAGTGGATTGCTTTTACTAACTCATACCATCAATGGGAGGTGTCAGATTGATGGTGTTTGAAATGTGGTTTAGCATAGAATTATTTCTCATTAATTTGGGTAGCTACGTCAGTTAAAAAGTACTATCAAAAACTTCAGCTCATTCGGAATAATAGCCCAAATATCTCAATATTATTGTGACTACAAGATTAGTGCAATCATACCATAGAGATTTGTTTATTGCACCACATTGTGAAGACTGTTTTCCATGTAATGAAGATGGAGTATACATTGAAGTATTTGCAGGAAATAAGCTTACGCAATGGTTGCATTAACCGGAGTATAAACCGATTTCTCTAAATGCATTTACACTTTTACTTACTGATAAATTGCATTTTAGTAATCTGAATATAATATAATATTGAACTCGGTAGAGTTTCACTTAGTTGGTGAGTACATAAGTAAGAACAGGCTGATTAACTTCATCTAACACTCAAGTGTCCTAAATATGAATTCACTTACTCAGTACAATGACAATGAAAAGCAACTTGTTAACAAGGCATATATTGCATACCAGTAAAACATTTGGTGAAAAAAAACAGTCAATAACTAACTCTTACTTTTTCTTCTTTGTCACTAGCAACATATCATTGAATAATATTAAATAGAATGTATTCGGTTTACGTATAGTCAACTTTTGCAATACTGACATACGTCCATTATCGGATAAATATTCACGTAGTTCACCTTCTTTAATGAGACGTTTATCACTGATTGATATTCGCTAATTTTTATGAAAATATTTGTATAACAAAATATGAATTCAGATTGAATATAAAAAATTCTTTCAAATGTCAATGTATGACTAAAAAACCTAAGAATGAATGAATGAATGTTTCCTATCCTGAAGAGAATTAGTTGTTCATTAAAAAACAAGATACTAAGACATTAAGTTGTGTAGAATATTGCACAGTATAAACTTTGATCGATATAGGTAGTTATCATTGCTAATGAATGAATGACATTTGATAAAACTAGGCACTGATCACGTGAAACAATTAATCTGATCCTAGAAGGATAAGCATGTAGCTAATTTTAGTTCCTTTATAGTGACATTTGGTCAGAATGAATCGATTAACCCCATATCCATTAGTAAGTTTGTTGATGAATAGTTGTAATCAAGTCGACCTGTTCGATTGTTGTCTTAAGATATTTGAGCTAAAATAATACTTGGGGAATATTCCCAGTATGGTCATTAGCAACTAATATTTTTTAAAATATGTAGTATAGAAATCGATATCTATGAGGGAAGTAATAATTGAACAGTGAAATTTTTCGATCTATGTATGACAAACAAATACACATTTCTCTGAATAATTGATTTGAATTCTGTAATGTTTCAAAATATAGACGACAACACATATAAGCGAACAGTATTGTTTTCAATTAGATTGCCATCAGGTTTTACCCTACTATACTTGAGGATTAATATTCCTTCCAAGGCCGAATATGACTTAACAAGCAATTTTAAAAATTTTCGTGTTTTTTGTTATCATTGGCATTATTTTCACATCCTCAGTTTGTTTGTAATTTTCCACCTCTTCTTGTTTATATTCTTCGCTAGCTAATTTATTTACACACTTCTTATTACGTAATGGTTTTGATGTTTTGTGATGATTATTTTAAGTCTATTTATCCACATTTGATCTATTATTGATATAACTTTTGTTATCGTATGTTATTTTTCTTACCACTATTAACAGTTCACCTGTCTTCCTACTATCAATGGGTACCTTTGTTTATTATGTGTAGTGACGTAATCTATTTCATTTCATTATGATTATTGACTCAAACTGCCTTGAACTGTTTAACATTTTCATATCACATCTTCATGTAAAGCCTGATGACAATCTGAATGAAAACTACATTGTTCGATAATATGTGTTGTTCTGATCTTCACAGTGGTGGGAATCTCTAACATCTAGAACACAATCAAATTTCATTTTCATGTCAATACATTAAATTTTGTGCTTGATCATTCGTCTTAATATGGTATGTATTTTAAAATGGGGATTATGTTTTACTACTTCGATTATAACCTTAATTTTATTTTGATTTAACCAAACGTACAATGACCAGTACACTAAGCATTGAATATGTCTCATGACAGTGAAAAATACAACACAGTATATTGTACACTGAAGGTTTGCTACCCAAGCGCTAATCGATCTGTATTTTTATTCGTCTCACTTGGAGGAAAATTTTTATTGGTGGTACTGAGATTATGCAGGGTTGATTGAGGTATTTTAGGGAGTAAGTGCCACCGAAAAACACTAGTATTTCATCACGTTGCTCTTACTGTAGTAGGGACCTGCACTAAACATTTTTTGACACGAGAATTCGTGTTAAGCATTAGTGTGGTAATTAGAATATGTTATTAAGCTATAGGATTTTACGTCAATAAAGTTTAACTGGAATTGATACATTATGATTCCTTGATTAAAACTCTAAATGCCATTGCCGATTCTAAATTTTCTTGTGTTGTCTTGATTTCTGATTACTTTCAGGATTTGATTAGCTTCTGGTTTTTGAGATCAATGATTTAACTACTCTCCATTCATTCTGCACGCATATATTTATCTTGTTCATCTGTAGCGAAACCTGTCTATTGCCGTACTGATATTGATAGTTCATACAGTGTCGTAAAAAATTAAAAAACGAGTCAGGCAGTTCTATCCTTTCCTAATCAGTCAAACCAGATAGGTTTTGTTCAACATAAACTTAAATGTACAAAAAGAAACATGTGAGACATTATAATCTTACCTTAACATTGTCGGGAAATTCAAGAGAAGAGGATAACGTGAGGAGTCGAGATTTCCTGTCCATGAGTTCTTTTTCAGTTTCACTGGCAGTCAAAAGCTAAGTTGAAAAGTTTTTCAATAATATAATTTTTCTACTAAAAAAGTATCTGTAGTCATAAAATATTTTGTAGAAAGAAATGTGTTATGTTTTGAATCTACCAATGTATAATTCTATTAAGATTATGAGTACTGTACTGTAGCATCACATAGTTAAAATAAGTGATTACAACATTATGAAAGATGAACTGCTTCATTTTCAGTCTTTTTTTTAACAGACTTCTATTCTCTACACCTCAATCTTGATATTGAAGCTTAGTAAAGAGAGATTTATGTTTTCTGGCTTATCAATTTTTTTATAATGATATATTTACTTTGGTATTCTCATCTTTTAACCAAAGGTTTTTACTCCTTTGTTTGATTAGACATGTATTTGATAGTTATTGTAAACTTTCGCCATCTTCAAATCTGCTGTCATCTTAACACTGGACTTTAATCATGATTACTGGGTTTTGGGATAATTCGGCCTTCAGATTATTTGAAACCACTGCTTGATTTTTTCGTGATTTTAAAGATAACTTCTCCTCTTTGATTAGTCAAGAGTGATGTCTTATGATTTTGACTAAAAGCATTGTTTACTCTCTTATTATTTAGTTTATATGGTGTCTGTGCAGACGTATTTTTTTTTTGTAGCCGCATTTTTATTCTACTGACTCCCTCATTTCGCTTACCTCTTTACTGATATGGTACTAAAAGCCTGACCATTTTTACTTTTTCTATTTCTCAGTGATTGATCACCGTAAACGTTTTAAAAGGACCTATTTAGACATACAATCTAGTCATATTCTATTACTCTCGTTTTATTCTGATAATGAGGAATTCACCAGTAATATCGTTCGTTCTGTACTGTACTGTTATAGGACTTCATCATTAATCTGACTGTTAGTTGACTTGATTGTTTTCGTCTTCAAATTTAGGCGGCTTAGTTACAGCCTGTTGATTTATTATACCACAGATTGATGACACCAATTAAGTTTGTTTATGGAGTTGAGTAGTCAGATATTTCTGATAACTCAATCAATTCTCATCTCTATTTGGAGTTGAATAACCTATCAATTTTCATTTTGTTATCAACACGGTCGATTAATTAGATTGATAAAATAATTTTTAGCAACAGTATTTAACTTTATAATTGTAAAGTTTAGATTAATTCTTGCACACATACAATTTTCTGACATTTTCAAGTTTCTGTTAAATAGATGTTATGTTGTACATCATAATTATAAAAGTTGTGGTAATTGTTAACCTCAGAGAATAAAAAAATCTCTGTCAAATTAAAGTGTGTGTGTGTGTGTGTATGAACTTTGTGAAGCATAATCAATAGACTCGGAGCTGTTTCTATTTCCTAATGAAAAAGGTTTTTATGTAAGATGATTTATTTTCCAGTTCGTCCATATATGGATGGAATCGGTTGTAGCACCTCATTTACATTCAAGTTTGTTTACATTTGATTTGATGAAGCCTTTTACTAACTTATTTAACAGATAGAATCATTCGTATGGGAATAACTTATCTCTATCATAGTACTTTTATTACTGTCGTGTTTGTATGAGCAGGTTATGACTGAGTATAGCTTACAGCCTACACATATATTCATTCTGTTCGCTTTATTGTTAGCCGTTTAAATAATTTGATGACTCATTCATTTTCCTATGTGTTTATACGTACTTTTTGATCCTATTTGCTCTCTTGCTCGCTTGCTCTACTGGCATTCTCATATCATTCTCTCATCGTATGCCTGCGGTTTTGTGATGTGTGTGTGGTGCGACAATAAACGAAATCAACGCTTTGTATTCGTCTTTTGATTTCTAAGTAGTTGTTGGGCGTTATATCTAGCAACTGTTATCAGAACGAGCAGTAAACGATGTTTAGAAGTAAATCCAACATCGACCACCACAGAACTGGTGAGCCGACATCCACCACGAGGTACTTTATGATCAAAAGTGTAAAGATTTGGTAAAGGGAAAGCATTAAGAAAAAACAGACTACAGAGAACACAGGTGAACAAATGCCCATACTCAACATTCATGATCATGATAGTTATCATTGACAAACTTATGCATATTGATAAATATGTAAATCTGAGTGTCGTTTGACTTTACCAATCATACCACGATAATCTTGTTGAATTTAAATAGATTAGCTCAAAGTAACAGAATACGATGAGATCATTAAGTAGTTAGTTTATTTTAGACTTTCAGTGATAATGTTTAAACAAAGTTACATCCAGGAATGTAACAGAAAATTTAAAACAAAGAACAGATTTTTCGAACTGCATGCTAACTCTAATCCCTTAAACTAAAGTTTGAACGTTGTGTATGGAAAGTTATTTTTCGCAGCGCTATAAGTCATGAATGTGATTTTGTTCACATTCAGTTTTACACATGATCACTGAAGTAAATATCCACTTACTGTTTATGAATAATTTATATCTTTTGTTAATGTATTTACTTAATTAACAAATGGAATAACATTCGAACAGAGTAAGCAGTTTTACATAATTAAAAATGATAAGCTTATAAGAGATAATTTCACAATAAAGTAAATACCATACTCACTCGATTTAATTCACGTAGTGCAAGTTGAACATTTTCTCGTTCTCTATCACTTGGCACTCGAAAAGGATGTTTTTCAAGTGATTTATCTTTTGAATCTCTGACAACTGCATCTTGCAGTCGACGTATAACTTCAACCAGTAATTTTAAACGCGTTAATCTTTGCATTGGAAGTGCTAAAAATGAATTGATCATATTTTTTCCACTTCTTGGATGAGCATGCAAATTATCTAATGCTGAACGAAAGCTATCCCGTTGGCTAAAAAGCGGGAAAAACAAATAAGAACTTGACAGGTTGAATTGAGAAATAGTTAACTGCTATACAGACTACACCAGTCCAAAGAAATTCACAATACATGAGGATGACATCTAAATGAGCAGGTTAAGTTGCCAGTGGCTAGCACTATTTACGTTCACTCATACAGAGATGTACCTTATGTAAATTCATAAACATCAGCATTTTAGACATACCATCATTTATTTGCCTAGTTTCCTATAAAATATAACGAATAATAATATCATCGACTAATGGAATATATTATTTATCTGCGTCAAATGATCATCTCATTTTTGACAAAATAACCGAAACCAGCAACAGAGTATTCATTATAACCTATGATGAGTTGTAAGATCCATTTTTGAAGTCTTTGTTTGTGAAAATCCCTTTCTGCATACATTTGTAATTTGTCCTGATTGATTCCGTTAGTTGTACATTTTTTTAATCTGTTCGATTCCATTTCGAGATGATAATATTTGTATTTTATTATAGTTTCTATTTATTCTGCCTCTACTGAGTTTCTATGCTTCTTTCTGAACTACATTTATGTTGTTTAAGCTGATTCTTAGTCATGGCGACAGCCATATTGATTTGTTCCTCTTTTGATTGTGTTACCTGCATTGACTAGAATTGTGCATTTTGGCTGTGAATTGAAACACTCTGTGTTATAAAGCAACCAAATATTATCTTTCGAACGAATCTGATCTATCCAGAAGGGATAGAAGATCATTTATTTGAATAATTGAACAATTGTTGGTGGAGTAGCTGAGTGGTAATATTGTTTAGGTAATGATGTATATTTATGTTTATGATGAATATTAGAACCGTCATTTGCCCAATCACTCGTTTTGATTTCGACTGGTCAAGACGCATATCTAACCTACCTAGACAGTTGTTCCTCAGTCCAAACCTCAGTTTGGATCCTACATGAGTTACGACAAGCTGACTCAGTATTAAACCATTTTCGAATTCACTTAAAACCAATAATCTATTTTTTGTAATCACTGGTTGCCAATACAGCACACTTGAAAGACTATTTTCTTGTTCGTTTACTGATTCAGTGTCAGCAGAGTTTTAAAACAGACGAATAATTTCTTAAAACTGGTTGTTTCATTGATGATTCTTATCTTTGTTGAAAAAAAGTAGGATTATTCTTTCGGGAAAAAATAGGCTTGAAACTTACTCATTGTTATAACGAAATATGGCTTTTCACTTCCCCTAAGAATTTAAAGTCTTTTAAAATTAATTAGTAACAATCATCAGCAAACAACGAATATGAGCAGAAGGAAGTGAAAAACGATTAACAAACACATCTTGTAAAAAACAAAGTGATATGCTTGAAACAATTACGAGTTCACCTTAGTCAGCAAACGAGAACGAGACAAATGATCCGGTGATAGGATAGGCAACTCTGGTCCAATGTCCCATTTAACTGAACAAGGAAGTATTGATATGACACCCAGGAAATAAGAGGTTGACAAGCACACAAAATCGAGTTTATTTATACATGATAGAAAAGTTCTTGGGAGAGCCATAAAATAGAGTACTAAAATAATCCATTAACCAATGACAGTCAAGGATTTTCCGAGTGAGAATGTAATCTCTAGGTCAGCCCATGAATAAAATCCAAAATTAGAACCTTTTCCGAGTGAGTTCCGGGGATCTAACATCCCTAACACAAAGGAAGGGATAAGAGTGTCAGGTAGTGTCTCTTGAATGCATCAACTAAGGTGTTTGTTTCGGAGCTCTATAGCGTCTATCTGCTAAGTGTGGGTAACAGAACTGAATCCAACTGCACAAGGTATAAGATAGAGATAATCAGAAATGGTTTAGTGTTATCTACCGTGTAACTAGCGTCAACCAAGTGTTCTAGGACAAAGCTGTATTTCATCTTTGTCTGGCTTTTTCCAGAGCGAGCTGATGGATGCTCACTCATTCATTGGTTAAGTTTTAAGTAGTATGCCTAATACAGCTATCCCGATTGACTTAGACACATAAGGGAGAATAAAGTCGAAGTGATTTACCTTCTGACTGAGTGGATATAAATAGTCTACTTTAAAAAAAAACATCACTCTCTTTCTAAAGACTTTTATTACGCAATTTTAATAACCTTTTGTGATTAGCATTTTAAGTGTATTCATACTGTTTTAGAAACTGGTTACAATTTATCTTAATGTCAATACTACGTTAGTCGAAATGATTTTCCCTTTCAATGTCACATGTGACAGGATAAAATAAAAATTTATGTATGTGTAGTTGAATAACTATTTTCTACACCACTATGTATGCTATATATATCACACAATGACACACGTTGAACTGGTCGAAAACCTTTTGCTCCTAAAACTGAATAGTGGATAACCACTGTTGCACAAGTCTATACTTGAATACTTTGATTAGTTAAAATGATAATGAGGAAAGGGATTTATGCCAACATTTTATCATTTCAAGTAAGAATTTTTCTTAATTGAAACAATAATGAATAGCTGAATATTTACGGTAAAATGAAGATATTTTAAATGACTTCATCAAAAAGAACTGTACACAATTATATCTTTTATAAAAACATTCTTAAATATATACTTTTCTACAATTTTGATAAAAAAAGAAGACTGTCAAAATTTACCACAATTTTTGTAGTGTTGCCATTTGATATGTTTGGTTTCTTAAATAAGTAATATATGGTTCAAAATTTACACCGCCAGCATGTTTCACAATTAAATCACAAACTTCATTTAGAATTGGCATTCGAGATTCCCATCTTGCTTCAAGGTCACGTAAAAACCTAGCGATTCAAATATGCATTTAATGAACATAAAATATATTATTTCTTGTTTTAACAAGGATGACAGCTAACTAACTATTAGAAACGAAGCGGTTTATCAATAATCAATACTGAACATATAAATCCATGACAAGATAAATCCATTTACGTTTGATTTATAATAATTTAGTTTACTGACTTAGTTTATTTTAAGCACAGAATAAGAGGTCTATACTCAATACGATAATCTAATTAAAGCTATTTCGTTACATTTCTCAAGCAGACACTAATACAAATAATTTCAGTCGGGAATTTTTAATCAAAAACTAGTACTAATGTGAGATTAAATCAAAACAATGTCACTCATTCTTAGCTTGAATCTTAGTGACAGTTCCTACAGATAATAGCAAATAATGTAGAACCCAGACGTTTTAGGAAACTGTTGATGTTACAAGCTAGAATACAAGTCGTTTTCATAATGCCTTTATTTCCATAATTTTCTGGTTGATATCCATAAGATTCACAAAAGTTACTCCCAATCACTTCGATGGTTCAGCTATTAAAAAAACATATTTTCACATGCATATAAAATCATATCATTTAAAATGTATTCAATAACATAGATTAAAAGTAGATGACTGAGGTTTTTGAAACCAGCATTTTCTAACGACCTCCTATACAATAGAACCTACCTTTGTCAATGATAAAAAAATTTTTTGGGGCAGAGTTTTGGAGGTTTGTGTTTTTAAACATTTGAAATCATCAATCAATCATTGTTAGATCACCATTAGAAACCTAGAAGCACTGGACGGCCATTTCGTCCTGGTATGGTATTCATCAGCAGTGCGCATCCACGACTCCTGCTCGTCGCAGGATAAAAAATTCTTATTCGACAAGTAGTCCACAACAACGTGCTTTTTTATCAATTTTCAAATAAATTCGTAATCGTCAATATGTATGCTTGAAAATTAATACGCTCAGTCTAGTTGGTCCTTTGAATATTTGTTAAATTAAACCAGACGCGAATGTTGTCTCACACTCTTTTCCTTTTGATCATTTTGGAACATATAATCAAAAACGTTTGTCTGTCATATTTGAAATAGTTCACTACAGAAGATGAAATTTTTGTTCATGAAGAAATCAATTAAATCTTTCTATATTGATCAACAAACTATTTGAACAACTGTAAAGTGATGACGGAAAGTTAACAGTGTGCATGAAAATCCGCATTGTTTGTGAATAATATAAGTCAATCAATGAAGAACCTTTCTTTATTATGACAATGCTTTAAAGCATATCTCTCCAATAGCTTTATAATTTATGTAAACTAGGTAATGAAGATAATCTTCATCTTACTTGTCTCCTAAAACATATTTTCTAATATTTACATGGGAAATCGGAAAATAAATAATGAATGGCTAATATGCTCGCCAACTATTACGAGTTCACCTTACTGGGTAAAGAGAAAGAAAGCAATGACTCAGTGACATGATAGGCTATTCTGATGCATTTGTCCCAACCCTGGTTAACTAGATCAAGACGTCTTGACAAGGTGTGCAGTGTGTAATCTACAAGCATTCAGAAAATATGGCATTGCTAAGCACACAAATCAAGCTTATTTATACAATGATAGAGACGACCTTGAGAGATCCACAAAACAGCCTACTAAAATAATCCATCAACCAATGACAATCAAGGATTTCCGAGTGGGAAATATAAGTCGCGTCTCTTGGCGCGAAAACATAGAAATTCAAAATATCAGAAATAAATTACAAACTTGGGACATTTCCAGGTGAGTTCTTGGAATCTAACTTCTCCAACAATCACATACATAAAATTATTATGTTCGTCTATAAAACTATTTAAATATTCACAGAGAGGAAATTATTTTTTTCACTTTTATGCCGAAAACAACGGATATAGAGTATAAATGACTTACATTTCGCTTGCTAAACATACAAGTAGTACATTTGAAAAAAGATGATGTTTTTCTAATGGTTTCAATAATGGACGTCGTGTTGTTGTATTTGTTGTAGTTTGATTACTAGAAGGAATTCCATCTGGACAAACGTCTGCAAAGTCAGCATTATTATTATTATTTACGATTGTATTAGTAGAATTAGAAATAGTTTGTCCCAATGGTGTTACACTGACTGATGGTGTACTAGGTTCACTCAATACCTGATCATTATTATTGGCTGCATCTTGTTGTCCTGCAGTATTAGTCGATGGTGGAGGTGAATAACGATCTTTTCCACTTTTATTAACTGTTTGATTACCTTGAACTGGTGAATACAATGGTTCACATTCAAATTCTGGAGCATGATAAAAATGATTGACTAAAACATTTAAACTTTGATAATATGATGCTTCGGAAGTGATCACTTCAAACATAGCCTGAAATAAATGAAACATAAGCAGCTTTGTAAAAGATGTGTGTTTATGAGTAGTATATTAACAAATAGCTGAAAATTTCCCGTTTTCTGTTTTGACTAACATTTTGATAACATTGCTCAAGAGTGAACAATTCAGAAACTTTGCTAAGTCGATAGCTCTACTGGTGAATAATAAAACAAACAACTGTTTCATGTAAATGATGATTATTTGTTGTGACAATCCATTATAATCAAAACACACCAATATACAAGTGTTACTAGCTCTCTTTCGCAGTTTTAGTACTGAGAGAGTAGTGTATGCAGATTAATTGGAATACATGTCTAGATGTTAGAAAAGGATGAAACAATGGAGATAAGTTGTCACACCAAAATACCATGCAAATGTTTTTAAAAGTTAAGTTAAACAATTCATGAAAATTACTACCAATATATGTGAATATAAGGGGGAAAATGAGTTCAATTCTACCTTATGATGTAAGAAAGGTTTTCAAAAAGTTTAAGTGTGTGTGCTTCTTCTTAATCACTAACTAAGAAAACTTACAACATTAGAGATATAAATACATTCTCTATATTTTAGACAAATGGATACCCTATAGCAGTATATCACTGAATAAAGCTGATCAATTTTCAATGTTAAATCTGCGAAACTAATAACATTTTAGATACTTAGTGCACTATATTCTGAACGGAGACATTGTTACGCAGTAGTTTAAGGTGACAGACTGTTTGTGAGATGTGAATGTTCTGGTGCCATTCATTTTTTTTGCCTAGTCCCATGCACATACTGCTAGAAAATTCTATGCAGAAAAAAAATTGAACAGCTATCTACATTACTGTGAAATATTACCCCAGTAAATTCAGTTTACATCAACTGAATGATATAAACAATGTGTAAAATAATTTACAATTATAAAAAATTAGAAAGTAATCAACTCACTTCTTGTAATTGAATTTCATGTCTGGTTAATCTCTGGAGACAGTTACTTTCTACAACCTGGAAGTAAATTGGAAATATATACATACATATGTATATGTATATATACGAATTGAACACTTAAGAAGAAACAGAAAATATCAAGGGGGTTAACAAATACCAACTTATCAATAAAAATTTAGAAGAAAAATACAGTGTGTCATTGATAGCAGCACTCGGTTTTATTGGGGTTTCTTTCAAAAAATAAAAATAAAATGTAATTTCTGGCTGTTGTGCAGTTAAATTGTTCTTAATTTTGACTAGCTACATGTTTTTTGATCTTAATTTTCTAATCTTTTTTAAAGATGAAATGTTTTGAGTAGTAAATTACTGTGTTATATTTCGACAAATGCATTATAAAAAAAACTATTGAATAGGTAGGTAGTCAGTGAAAGATTAATATAGATTTGTAACATTTTATGACTGAAATATCAAATATTGTAATAGATTACTTTATAAAAGGTAAAAAAAACTCTATTTTATGAAGGGCCAGTTCTTTCTTAGCACATCTGGTCGATATTGGTCAAATTGTAGATAAGTTTATATCTTTTCTTGTGATCTATTGCATACTTCCATCATTTCCCAACGGAGTTCAATCCCGTCGCCTACACATAGCAAAAGCCATAGGAATTTGTACATTCAACCCTAATTTATATGTTCAGAAGAAATTTGTGACACCCCTATCTCTTCCGTTTAAAAAAAATTCTTTCTAATTTTGTTTCGTTATTATTAACATTATTTTCACATCCTGTATTTGTTTGTAATTTTCTGCCTCTTTCCGTTTATATTCTTCACTATCTAATTATGTACACACATCTTATTACGTAATAGTTTAATGTTTTGTAATGATTGTTTTAAGTCTATTTTATCCACATTTGATCTATTATTGATAAAACTTTTGTTATCGTATTTTATTTTTCTTACTACTGTCATTACAACACATATAAGCATACAATATTGTTTTCGATTAGATAGTCATCAGGCTTTACTCTAATATACATGAATATTGTTCGCTTATATGTGTTGTTCTAATTTTCACAATAGGAATTTTTAATACTGTCGGTACACCTATCTTCCTACTATCAACTTGTACTTTTGCCTAGTATGTGTAGGGACGTAATCTAATTCATTTCATTATGATTATTGACTCAAATTACCTTGATTAGTTTAACATTTTAGTATGAATATTCATGTATATTAGAGTTAAGCTTGATGAGGATCTAATAAAAAACAACATCGTTCGCTCTGTCTGTAACATTAAGGATCTGATAAGTTATTTTATATTTATTTGACGACTTCAACTGTAAGCCACTTAGAATTACATCTGAATGTTTATAAATCTTCTTCGGAACACTAAAGTGGAACATTAATATCATAACATTTACTTGAAGAGAAATCATGGTTCTTGTCGAAAAAATCTTTAAAATAATGCTTTCCAAACATTTATTTATTTTATTGTCTTATAATAGGATACCTTCCTAAGTGATGCAAGTGGATAGGGAACACAGATTGCGGAAAGCACCTAACTACGTCATAAGACAAGCCCTCATTTGGAACCTTTGAGGTTAAAGGTAAAGAGGAAGGTCAGTGGGGCACATTTCGCCCAGAAATCGAAACACACATGAGAAGAATGAACAAAAATTGAATAGAACTGAAAAGCGAGGCCCAGAACAGAGTATAATGGAGAATACTGGTAGGTGGCCTATGTTCCTCTGAGGGTAATAGGCGTAAGTAAGTAAGTAAGAGTCAATGAAATCAACTGATCCATTGAGTAGTAGATCACCAACTTTAGTTGTACTCTCTGACTGCCTTTCGTGTAAATTTTGAGGACGTTAGATCCCCAGAACTCACTTGATAAAGACATTAATTTTTGGATTTTATTCAGTCGACCTTGAGATCAAATTTTCCACCAGGAAAATCCTAGGCTATGATTGGTTGATGTGTTATTTTAGCACGCTATTTTTGTGACTCTCCCAAGGATGTTTCTATGATGTATAAATAAACGCGATTCGTGTGCTTGAAATCTTGTGTTTGCTGGTTGTTTGTAAAATGTACTTTCTACACCATATCAAGACTTTTCCTTCAGTTAGTTGGGGCAACGGATCAGAGTAGCCTACCGTGTCACTGGGTCATTGTCTCGATCTCGTTATCGACTAAGTGGAACTCGTAATAGTTCCAAGCAATTCTAGTGACGAGCGTAACAGTAATGAAGTTATTTTAAGTATTCTTTATTACATTCAATTTTCATTATCTTCGGGTTTTAACTTTATGACAGCAATAATAATATTAGAAACATATAATTGATGTTCATTTTATACACTCTTCAGTACTTTTGTTAACTGCCCAAGGCGAAACATACTACCCACAGATTTATAAAGCTTCAATTCAACTACAAGATGATCATTTTGTGTAACATTATTCCTAATACAACAATAATTTGCTTTATTAGCTTTCTGAGTGTTTCTGAATGAATGTTTGTTTTTTTCCCCATTTTTATGAATCAAGTATTCATTCTCCTTCAAAATGATAAGAAGCCAATTGAACAAATCAATAACTTTTATACGTCATAGTACTATTAGTTGGTATTGTTGGATCTTAGTGAAAATTCATTTGCCGTTCAGAGGATATTTGATTGCAATATGTATAGATCACTTATTTTACCTTCGTGCAGTCTTTACATTTTGTGGAAAATTATGAAATCTTAAAAGTTGGATTATGATCATGTGATATATGTTTGAGCATATTGAAACATACAACTGTAAACATGATAACCATATTTCGATTTCCTGTTGTTGTAATTATCACAAAAACTTTATTAAATAGAAGTTGAAATGATTAAGATTTAGTTTAAATTTATACTACTCAAGTTACTGAACATTTTTCTTATTCAGTTGACCAAACGTCTTCTTCATTATCAGTAATACTTCTACTATCTTTACCACTATGGGATTCGAATTTACGATTGTCTCTCTGTGCTAACGTGGTATCGCAACCTGAAATGGTGTACGTACGTACGAAGTTCTCCGTTGTAACGGACTGACTGGCTGACTGGTCAAGCGTCTTTATCTAGAACGCTATAAAATGGGGAAAATCTGTAATTGTGTGCATGTTAAATCTACTTAATTATGAGTAACTTTAAAACACAATACTAAAAATGATCTCATTAACGAATTTATTTTATTTGAAATGATCAAGTTGAATGATTGCTTATAGTAATAAATTAATTTGGATCTTCTCCTAAAGGGGATTGTTTTGTTTTTAATATTAAATAAGTGTTATGAATCAAAATATAAACAGTTTTGAAACCATGAATCGATCAATTTTAGACCACCATTAGAAACCTTAATGATTTCAAAATAGCTCAGCAATCTCAGCAACCCTATCGTGAAAATTATCATGTGCCAACTAGTGACAAACTCCGTCAGGACCAGTGGAGTTTAACCATGTTCATCACCGAAGAAAGTGGATGAAATTGCACAAGACCGTAGATTGATCGATATTTCACATTACCACCGTTGGGTTCCGGCTAAATGGTCCAGAGGTTAAGCGTCCATGAGCAAACCTGAAGGTACTGAGTTCGATTCCCGCGTTCAGGAGTTATGGATACACATTCCTGAAGAGTCGCAAAATAGTACAAAATGGTCTTTCAGTTCTTATTAGTTTCTAATGGTGGTCTGACGTTGATCAATTTATGAATCCAAAGTAATTCATTTATCTCCAAAACCCTTGAACGAAAGTATACAAATTTGTAGAATATGAATCAATTATTAATTGATTCTGTACTTACTTCAGGCATTTCTGACCAAGCGACACGAAACGCACCTTGATTTCCAACACCAAATCGACTGGTTTTTTGTACAAGACCTTCTGAAACACTTTTGCTGCCTTGAATTTCTCGTAAATTACTAATGTCATGTTGGTCCTGCTGTTTTAGTTCGAGCATTTCTTCATCTTTCTTATCTTTAAAACTGGTTAAACTTGGAGAAATATCGCAGTTTTCCTGAAATAAAATACAAGTTTTATTTTGTAAGTATCTTTATGAATCTTTTGAAAAGTATACATAATCGACGAATTCAAGAAAGTGCGATTCTGTTCCAATCTTATGTTCTTTGAATTCAGTGGCATCGTTTGACGATTTTGAAATTACCAACTTACTCATTTTTGGGCCACGAGAAAACAGATATTTACACATATAGTAAGTAAGATGCGTAGTTAGTACAGATATTCATGATATGTTCTTGACGATCGGAATGTGAAAACTAACCAAAATAATTAATCGAAGCTGAATACAAAGGTTGGTACAATGGAGATGTTACTATTGTCAGTTGTCGAACAAGGTTTACGTAATATTTCTGACAGTAGCATGTTCATGAATGTATAAGCTGATTTACACTTTTATTAGTGATAATAAAGCTCTTATTATATCAAGTCTGAATTTGAAATAGCAACTCTGAGCTGACCTGACTAAGTTGATTTGATAACGTTTCAGTTATTTGTAGACGATCTCGCTTATATGGAATTATTTGAACGTCAGCAGATAACTGATACTATTCTAATGAATCAGTGTTTACAGTATAAGAATCCGATTAATAGTTATCAAAATCATATTGATTTCAGTAAGAGAAACTTCATTCACCGTCGAGTTATATCAACATTAATTTTACAATTTGTAAATAATCGTTAAACTTTTAGACCAGCTTATGCAAATTATGCCATTGGTTTACCATTCACTAACTAACTAGCATTTTATGTGTAAATAGTGTTCTAGTGTATTAATAAAAAACAGATAATGTTGACGCCTGAAAACCGTTGATCCAAATAAAAACAGAAAGTAATCTTTGTAAAAATAAGGAAATTACATTTTCCTGAAGTGCTGGTCGTTCATTTGCTGATTCAGAAAATGACAATTCTTTGTTTTGTGGAAGATCTGAAAGTATAGTAATAGTAATAAATAGAGAATTGTACCATAGAAAGTTCAAAGAGATAAACATTAAAATAATTTAAATGTTTATATATACGAGAATCCAGTGGTAACCGTCGTAAGTTATGAATTAGTTTAATAATTATTGTAAACTGTCTAACAGCAAATGGGATTTTGAACATTTCTCCTTCCCTCAGGAAATAAATTTTGCAACATTCCGATTTATAACTATTCAAATTATTTTACACTTATACTAAATCTTAATTCAATGATTTAATTTGAATAAATAAAAATCTGAAATTTAATCACCTGTATTTCTATTCTATTTTAATCTACTTACTATTTTTAATTAAAGTAGTATAAAATTTATAATGACAGAATTCATCTCATATCAAGATTCATTATTTGCTCCTAGTGTTGATGGTCGCATTAAACCTAGAATCTAGTAGAACGTTTTATCTATCGAAATTCTGAGTTCGTTGGTGAATTTCAAGACTGAGATGCTTGTAATTTCAGCTGATAAGTTCATAATAGGACAAAGTGCACGTCCAATGCGGACCGCTATCCAACCTTACTGCTACATTCAGATGGAATATAGTAATATACAGGCAATCCACTCTCGATGTATATATTATTAAAAGCAACTGATCATTTGCAGTCCTCACCATTTAAAAAACAGAATGGTTCAAACAGTTTCAAATCAAAAATAAAATTTCCGCTTTAGGTCTTACTTCGTTCTGAATTGATATTAGAAAATTAATATTGAAAATTTATTGATATAATGCAATCTTATCCAGTGTGAAAGAACATCAGTTAGTTTCCTTTTTTACGTTGAGAATAAATAGTAGGTTAGTGAACTATTTATACACTATGTTTACTAATATTTATAATAAAAGGTAATATCCTCAAGTTGTACATACTCTTTTTTACGGATACTGTGTTGAGTTTTAACTTTATTCAACCCAAAAAAGACTATTAACCATACAAAACATTAATCTTGAAAAACTTTTTATTATTGACCAGTATAAGAGGTTTATATTGATTGTTGGATATCCATAGTTCACATCACCAGTTTATTCACAGTTGGATGACAACTAAAGACCAGGAAGCATTGATGATCATGTCAATCTTACGTGATATAATTTAATAATTTTTCCAATCAAAATCACTAAATATACATAAATAAATTGTTAACTATTTTATTCTTAATATAAACAATCATGACCATCTTTTCTTTCATAAAAATGACAAGTACAAAATTGTTTGAGAAGACTTGCACAATTACTTGAATCCTATAATAAATCAAGTACCCTTTCAATCACATGGATCAAATGTTTCTTTTTAATTTAAACAATTTGCTAAGGACATATGTCACGGAGTCACATTGCTATTAAGTGATTTTATTCTATAGTTTGATTCAGGTATATACATATTGATTAGTATTCATTAATTTTCAAGGTTTTAGCATTAGGATTTGTTACCTAAGGAGCTTTTTCTATTTGCACAACTTTTTTATACGTTTTCACGTAGCTGGACTCCAGTTAACAGTGCTATCGAGCACATGAGTTGGATCATATTTAGGATTAGTTAGCTGAGTGTACATAGATCCTAGTGTTACTGGTAATATAAGAAAATTAGACGTTTATGAAAATGTTTAGGATAAACCTACGAACAAAAACTGACTGTATATGAGTTCTGCGTGTTAACAACAGGTGGATACACAAACCCTTTGGAACAATAACAGTTTTAACTGTTGTGCAAGTATACATGAATTCATTAGTGAAGGAAGATCACTATTTATTGAACATTTTGTAATAACTTGTTCCGAATTTTTATTAGTTTACATGGTTCTACTCGTTTTATTCAGCTCCACCTAAAGTGGCTCTGGGATTACTTCTGGTCCCAAGATCGGATGAAGAGGATTAGTGAGCCCATCCCGTAGAAAAATAAGTCGCTCAAACAACGCCAAACTACAGTGCAAAATAGTGCATGGAGAACAGCTAACAGACTCGTCCGAAGTGAAGACTGGTGTCAGGTGAAGATGCTTATTCTGACCCTTTCTCTTTCTCCTAATGGTCAACTTTATTATGAAGAGGCTAATATCTTAGAAAAAGCACGGAATACAGTGAATACCTCGGATATAACTGGACAATTTGAACTTCACAGATGATCTTACTCATCTAATGCACACAAATTCAGGAGAAGACGACTGGAGTAGCAGCAAGTCTCAACATACATAAATCGAAAAGCGAGATTTTGCGATACCACACAACATGCCCCAACCAAATCACTCCTAATGGAGATGACTTGGACGAAGTAAAAACCTCTGCATATCTTGGCAGCATCATTGATGAGCAAGATGGACCTGATGCAAATTTGAAGGCGCAGATCGGGAAAGCAAGGACTGCATTTCTACAACTGAAGAACATCTGGAACTTAAAACAACTATCAATCAACATTAAAGTCAAAAATGTCAACACCAAAGTCGAAACCGTTGTATTGTATAGAGTGGAAACTCAGAGAACTAGGAAGTTCATCATCCGAAAGGTACAGGTGCTCATTAGCAGTTGTCAAAGAAAGATGCCCATTATTCCTTGGTCAGACAATGCCAACAACAACCTACTGTGTGAGAGAACAAACCGGATTCCAGAGGAAGAAGAAGTCAGGAAGAAGCGCTGGAGGTGGTTAGGATACATATTGCGGAAATCATCCAACTGCATCACATGACAATCCCTCACTTGGAATCCTGGAGACAAAAGGAGAAGAGGAAGATCAAAGAATACATCACTCCGAGAATCGGAACCAGGCATCAAAATAATGAATTGTGATTGGATAGAACTGGTAAAATATTCTGAGGTCAGAGTAGGTTGGAGAATGCTGGTCGGTGGCCTATGCTCCATCGGCGGTAACAGGCGTAAGTAAGCAATTCTTTCTGTTCGATTTCAATTAATTAGAGGCAATAACAGTCCTGAATGTTGGTGGTAGGTTGAAGATCTCTAAATTAATGCTCCTTAGTGCTGCACTGAACGACGTGGTTATGAATCTCATGGTGTACATCTGATTTTTAAGAAGTAAAGATGCTTGCTGTTGGTGGACCCCAGTTGATGTTTAAGCAACTCTGACTATCATCTTCACATATCTACTAGCTGTAAAATACCTAAAAAAATGGTTCAGCTCTCCTGATCTGTGGATAAATCGTTTTAGTGCTGTCCGAATGAGAACCAGATGGAATTCATTAGATTTCATAACGACAATCACATTTTTTAAACTTTATTTACGATTGCAAACTCTGTATTGAAAAATGATTTACTCACCACTAATACATACAGGTTGATCAAATAAATTTAATGATCCTGATTTAACAATTTGTTGATTCGTTGCTTCATATAAAAATGTCAATATTGATTCGTCTAATAGATGAGCGAATGCATTTGCAACTAAATTTATATCTGTTCCACTTTGATCGGAAATTTGTCTAATATTCACTGAATCACTAGCACTAATAGGACTTAGTGAAGTTTGTTGACCATTCACGACATCATCATTCTCCTTTTGTATTTCAGATGTAGACTTCTTCGCTGTATTTGCTTTATTCGATAATGCTATCTAAATAAATGATAATAAACGTGCATATATATATATATATATATATATATATATATACAGACAGTGGATATTGAATATGAAAGTCTAGATCTGACTTGTTAATAAGAGTTTAGTTAGTTTTCTGTTAAAATGAATATCAGCTGTTGTGCGCGCTACTTATAAGTAGTCTGGCAGCAGAAGATGGGGAAAGATCAAGAAAGGAAGAGTTAGAACACAATGGAATTTGTATGAAACGCATGAACAGTGAAATGTCAGACAATGGATTGATGTTTGCAACAGGAACAGTCCAGTTAGATATGATGGATTGATATTTTGCAAATTAACGATTTATGATATGGTTTGCCTATTTTACCAATTAACTCTGTAATTTGAAATAAATACAATTCGGTTGCCCTCACCTGTGTAGTTAAATAGATGATAAACGAAAAATTATATGGAATCAATGAATATGTTTATTTTAATTCAGTACTTTTCTTTCATCAGGAATGAATAAGCAAAAACCTTTTGTTTCATACAACCTATGGTCATGAATGAGTATACACCGATGAAATGTATAAAACTCGAACTGAATAGTAATACAATGTGATCTTTCTAGTTTGCCTTGTTCCTCTTGATAGTGCCTGCTTCCAATGGAAGGAATCTTGAAACCATACAAGCTTGCGAAAGAATGTTAGTCGACATAAACTGTTATATTATGAAATAATTTGGATTTAAACTTTATGAATTACTTACAAGTGACACATCATTGATTAATTGTTTGAACTTATTTATATGATCACTGAGAGTATTCAGCATTTTGTATATTGTTTTCGATAACCGATAATTAAATAAATTGATTTTTTTTAGAATTCATTTTAATTCACCATTTTCCGCAAAAAAGATTAGACTAGTTGATAGTAGAACTAGTGTCAGGAGTTTTAATAGCATGTAGAACCCAATCAGATTTACCGATGTACAACACATGATTAAGAATAGTTTCCTAATCAGTCAACTAAACCTTAGAATACTGTACAGGTGTGTTACACTAAATGTATTGAAACGAAATCGACCAATACCACAAAGATAATTTATCAATCTTTGTTAATTAATCATGTTACATGTATTGATGTCAACAATGTGTTTTAGCAACATGTACATTTTCAAAGATTGAGTATCAATCAATAGAAGGGTGTATTTTATTAATGTGGTGTAAATGAGTTTTTATTTTATTGCGAGAAAATCAAGACCACGTGTGTCATCATCAATACTTCGTGAGAAAACTCAATAGACTGTCATGTGAACGTACAATAAGATACCTTTAGCTCAGAAAACTATGGGTATCTGGAAATCAGCTAAAGAAAACCATAATCAGAAACTCATACTTCTTGGCTAACTACATATTGGGACAAATTAACACAATCTACTAAGAATGCAATCCCTTCAGGATTCAGTGTGCTAACTTACTGAAAACCCTAACCCTAACTTTAGTATTAATAGTTCACTTGTATGCTCAGAATAGAGATCCACCTCAATGTTTTAAAATATAGTGGATCACAGCTTTGATAATGAACTAGTTACTATTGTGGGGTCAAACCTAAAAACGTCCATTTATCATTATCTGCGTGCTTATACAACACTTTTATGTTAAACTTTCAAAATACTTGTCTGAGAATTCTGTTGTCTTAGTCTTGAATGTGGATGTAGAACGATCGCGCATCAATAAAAGCTTAATAGAACAACAAAATTGAATAGGTGAAAGGTGGACAACGTAAGAGAATTGTTTAAGTTGAATTTGAAAAAATACACATAGTTATATTTTCATTAAAATATATACAGAAAATACATATTGAGATTGAAACTACAAATGTACTATCTATCCATCTAAAGTAAAATCTACCTGATGTGCAATTATTCCATATCCTTGATATAATGGTAGATTTGCAAAACGAGACTGATAACCTTGTACAGTGCCATCTTCATTCTTTGAATAAATGTTGATTTTGTTGTTTGCTTTTGAACCACGTGATTGTGAAACTTTATCTGATGTTAATGTTTGATTTGATGCAAACATGGATTTGGCTTCAGAAAACATACGTTCTGATTCCTAAGAAAATTAGATAAATAACAGTGAGAAGATTTTATGTTATTGACATGAATAAATAGTATTATGAAATATGCAATAAAAACGAAAATTCTTTTTTATTTTACATGTTATAGTGAAGTAAAGTTGAAGGTAACACGCTAAACAATTGTTCACTAATGATTATCATGAGGTATAAGCAAATAAGAGATGATTTAATATTTTTCAGCTTCAACATCATGCTACCGTAAGATAGAATGTAAAATCTTTCTCAGTACGATTTGCTTGAATATTTGAGATACCTGTTTTCTAACATCAAAATATTTCCACAGATTACCTCTCACTGTCTTGTTTTAACACGTTAACCATGGCTGGTAAGCGCATAGTCTATTCAGAAGCGTAAATAAGTATTTACGATCGATCGGTTCACATGGTACAAAAGAGTACAATCCAAGATATTGTGTTGGCTGGCAATCTGCTGAGAAAAGGATGAACGGTAAAAAGATGTCCATTCCTGAATAGGTTATTTGCAACTGCCAGTCACGAATTGTTGTCCTAAGGAAACTTGCTGAAATATTCCGCGCCGAGAATCACATATTGTACTCAGCATGATCTTGGATAAGTCAGTCAGTTACAACATAGAACTTCGTACGTACATACGTACGTCAGTTTAGGTTGCAATACAGCATTAGCACAGAGACACCACTATCAGTTTAAATCCAATAATGGAGGAGATAGTAGAAGAATTAGAGGTAGTGGAGAACACCAGGGATCAAAGATATTATTCAAGAAATATAGTTCAGTGAGACAACTTTAGAAAGAGAAAGATAGAGATGATGAGGAATTCTGAGGATTAGAATTTAAGGGAACACAAAGAGTGAATGAACCTGTGCCATTGCAAACGATTTTTAGCCATGTTACTCAAGGTCCCTGACCATTGGTGACCTTAGTCCCGCGGACCCCAACCAGGTTGCCCACATCTACCAACATAACTCAATCCACTTGTCAGTGACTTCATGAATTTGTGCCATGTTTTGGTTTGGCCGCACCTAGCTTTCTTCTAGCCTACTCTTACACCACAAAACATCGCTCGTCGAGGCGGTCGGTGGTCGGGCATTCGTAACACATGTCCCAACCACCTCAACTGATGAGGTTTCATTACTTCATCTATTGATCTGCCATCTTTACCTAGTACTGGATTGCTGACTGTATCATTGCTTACTCGGTAGTCCCAGGATACACGGGCAACGCTTCTAAGACATATATGATCAAATACTAGTAACCTGCGAATATCTTCTATTCTTGCCGGCCATGTTTCATAACCATATAGGAGAACGGAGCGAACTGCTGCACAGTACACTTTAGTCAGAAAACCGATATCTCGTTTCCAGTTTCAATAGGGGCTTCAGTCTTACCGGTTGCCAGTATCAGTAAAAAAAAATTCATTATAAGTTTAGTACATAGAGATATTTCCCAACAAGTTTACCACTGATTAGTTAATAGAAGTGTATACCTAAAATATGGACCACTTTACTTTATCGAATCTGGAAACTTTCAAGCTCACGATGTTAACAGAAAATGAAACAACAAGATTCATTTTTGTCCGGTTTCATTTGACCTTTCTATAATTTTTTACTGTGCATTTCTAAATCACTTTGTGAAATTTTGTTCACTGAATGTAAGTTTGTACTGTTAATGTTATCCAGAAGGACAATTAAGACATCACGATCGATCTTTTATGCTTATAGAACAAAAAAAACACTAAAATCATTAGACTAGGCTCCAAATCTCCACCTGCTCATGTTACTTAATAATATATATTGATATATTTCAGTAATTACTGAGTATAAGATTGCGTTTTACTAATTATAAAAACGATGGAAAGCTAACAACAATAGTCCTCTATCATAAAATAAAACATGTGATATCGATGAAGTATTTTATAAATTTATTATTGACTAACTTTCATTGTCATCAATGCCAACTGTTCAGTATCTACAATATCACTGAAACGAGAAAAAAAACAGAAAATTTTTATGTAACAATAAAAACTGAAAAAAGTATACAGTGACTTAAGACTATTAACAATATAATAATTTATAAGTATTCAACCAATTAAAGTACAAATTCGTGCTTGTTTGGTGTAGATTACTCACACCTACTGATATTTGTCACAAAATTCTAGTTAGATTTGTATTTAGCGCAGATCATACAAGGGAAATTGTAATTTCATCTATAAGCACATTATTATAAGTCAATCAAAACTGGTTTATTATTATAGTGGCAATGTTTTAAATTAAAAACTATGAATAACTATATTAGAATACAAATTGATTATTGAATAAACCAACGACAATAATAACAACCTTTGTTAATATACGGCACTGTTCAATTCGATACTGTTATTTGAACTAGAAATTCATACAAGTGTGGTAATTTTTTGGTGGATACTATGTTATTTATAACTAAATGACATGTGATTTATTTCACAAGTTAACACCCACGACTGAGAACGAGTCATCATAATTCGTCTTATCTAATATTTCATGACAAATGATAGTATTTTTCCATGAATCTGCAAATGAATCTTTTATTCTTACCATCTAGTTCTTTATTTATCAAGTATTAAAGTTTTGAGTTCTTTATGTTCTCTTAAATCCTAATCTTCTGAGCTCCTCGTCACCTTAACCGTTTTTCTTTTGGGTTTATTTCACTAGATTCTACTTGCTGAATGATTTCGTCAAACCCTAAAATTTCGGATTACTATTATTACCTTTACTACCTCTACTACTATGGGATTTGAATCGACAATTGCTTCTCTGTGCTAATGTGATATAGCAACTTGAACTGATTTACGTAAGTACGAAGTTCTATGTTGTTGTTAACCGACTGACTGATTTCAAATTCAATTCCTTAGCTATTCATTGTAATCCTTTAACTAAACATTGAGAGTGAATCGTTTGAACTAACCTCGATGTAATTCGTAATGTCACATAATGTCAAACAAACTATACAAGTTTCCAAAGTTATGAACAATCTATCAGTGGGATATTTATTTCACCTTTAAATAAATTTATCATTTGATAGAAATGATTATGTTAGAATGTTTGAAAATCATAAAACTATTTCATTGAAATATTTAAAATAAACCATAACATAATTTATTGCATATTTGTCTAACTTTTTATTCATTTCTGATAGAAAAGACAGAAATAGATGGTAATACATTTTTTTCGACCGAAATTTATGACTATTTTGACTAAAATGAAGTTTTAGAAATATTATCAGGTGTTATAGACTGTTTTTAAGTGAAAGTATCTGGATGGATGCACTTTATCCTAATGTTAGGATATTCATTCAATATCCTAAGAGAATTATTGGTCAATTACTATTGGTTAATTCCTACTGGTCAATTTTATGGTCGCCCTGACTATCAATGTCACAGACTGTCACAGCTGTTTCCTATTAGACCTAAATGTATAAATACGCATTATCTGTAAATCTTTAGGGACCGAACCCGGACCCGGATCCCTAGTCCGGGACCCTGATTCTCTTCTGGACTCGGACCTCGTTCTTTCTGGATGCTTGTAGAATACATGTTCTACTTCATATCAAGTCTTCTTCTTTCACTCGATAGGGGTTGAGACACTCAGACACTCGTGTCACCGGATTCTCGATCCTCACTCTCGTTTTCCGATTAAGATAAACTCGTAATAATTCAATCATATCAAAATGACATGTTTACGTTCATGCGTAACACCTAAGTCAAATAATCGAACGAACTATTCCTCATTTTTTTCACAATTTTTATTGTTGGCCATTAGAAGAATGTGATTATTCATAGCTTCCAGTAAACCGTGACAGTGATGGTTCTAACAATTGTTCATTTTCAGCTGTATTTCTTTTCACTGTGTTTCAGTACATAAAAGTTTTTGGATGATATTTTGTCATAGCGTCGCTGATAGAATGAATCAATTTAACAAGTAGACACTTATTTACCAGTACAGTTGCAATATCTGTATCACTTACTAAATTATATCGAAGATTTTGGGAAAAACAGTTTTCCTAAATTAGTTACATAATACCAAAGTTATAGGATTGATCAACACTGAACAATCTTTTACTGTCGTCAGCTATAGAAGTAAACATCACTCTGCCTAAGCAAACGTAAAGTGATTTCACTATGGGGTTGTGGAACTTGGTCATTTACTTATTGATTTCTTGAATCTATCAATGTTGGACCATCATTAGAAAGCTGGAAACACTGGATGGGGGTTTCTTCCTGGTATGCGACTGATCAACAATGCGCACCTACGACTCCACCTTGAAGCGTGCGAACGTCTGACCTCTGGATAACTGGGCCGGTATCTGACGGTGTTCCTGTCTAAAGGGATTTCACCTTTAAAAAGCAAATTTTAATATCGATTGACTTATTAGTTTACAATATAAAACATATGTGTCCTCATGAATTGATAGCTTCAATTTTATAACTATGAATAACACAACAAATATTGAAAAGTGGCAGTCGTATAATGGTCCTCAGAAAAATCGACATAAAGTTGTGATATGCTATCACTAAATTTCTTCAACATGAATGAAAAAACTTAAAATAACAGAATTTGATACTGAATAAACTATTCATTAATAGAAAGGTTATTCTTTGTATTCGATACAATCTTGATGCTTATCAAAAGTTTTGTGATCGAATCAAAAACACAATGCTAATTGACAAAACTTGATTAGTTCAGTTTGATTCAGACATAATTGTTATTCTTCATTAGGATTATATTTTTGAATTGGTCTGTAGTTTAGTATTTGCGGAAGAAACTATAGTTAGATAATGGTATTTCCACTCTCAATATTTTGTCAATTTGTTGGAATATGGCCGATTCGATAAGATTATATTTTTACATTCTTCTTTCTACAGAGACTTTTTTAACCATTTTATTGCTTGGGTTATTTATATAATTCAACTGGTCAACTGAATAATAAGTTAAATTCATAGTAAAATCATAGATCTACACATTTAGGTGGCTACTTTCAAGGTATTCAGTAGTATAAGTAAATGAATAACATAAACGGAAAATTATGAAATCAGTGTCAGCCTTTCCTACATTACAATGTGGTAGAAATCTACGCACTATAAATTAGCTTCTTTTCTTTGTAATAGTGAACCTGATATTTGACCAACTTCAGATTGTATCTATATGGTTTAGTAGATTACGGCATAAATCACTAGCAGATTGTGATTTTCTAATACTTCTACTTTCACTATGAATAATAAAGGGCAGCAGTAAAAATGCGTGAAACAATGGATTTCAGACCAAGTCACATGATTTCGTCAAGGAATCAAATAGAGTATTGGCATCTTCCTAAAATTTTGTCATATCTCGGTTCAACTGACCCTTGGTCTTATGGTGACTAAAATCTGAAGCATGAAAAATTGCTCACTGTTTTTATTAGCGTATGACTTACGTTTTACTATTCTGAATGCCTTGCCCGTCTTCGATCGCTGTTCGAAGATCCTTACTGAATAAGCTGAACGGCTTCTTAAGCGTGACTAAAATAAAGCAGTTGAATAGATAGATAATAAGGAAAACAATTGCAAGATTGAATAAAATCATGTTATTATTTTAAATGTATAGAATTGTTTAAGGTTTAATATTACTGAACGTTTACACGATACTAGTGTCCGACAGTTATTGTAGCGTTTGCATCGATTGAAACAGCTAAGTAAACAAAGATCCTAGAATTTTTTAATACTGATAGACATCAAAACACTTACTTATTTTGTGCATTTAAGTTATTCAGCTTAAAGAGTGTTTAGTTTCGGGTACGAGAAACAATGTTACTATCTACTCCACTCAGTTTCAATCGGTAAATTAAATTGCTGAGTTGAATTTAAATTTGATAACTAAATAGACTGTGAACAGTATGATATCAGAACTAACAAATTGTGTGGATTATAATATTTGTAAATATATCATCATATATATAAATGACATGTGTTAGTGAGAACTCAATAATTAAACAAACAGTAGACGAAATGAAAGTTTGCAATTAAAGTTATGGAAATTACTGTTTTTACACACTTGAAATCACGAATCAATGAATGACAGACCACCATTAGAAACCTGGAGGCACTGGATGGCGGTTTGGTTCTGGTATGGGACTCATCAGCAGTGCGCATGCACGACTCCTGCAACTTATAGGATTCGAACCCATGACCTTCGTTCTTGCGTGCGAACGCCCAACATCTGGATGGCTGGAACAACATCAAACGGTGTTAATGTTTAACTCTGATTGATCAAGCGATTTGATTTAGGTTCAGGAGTCTTGGATGCGCACTGCTGATAAGTCCCATACCAGGACGAAACGGCCGTCCATAGGCTTCCAGGTTTCTAATGATGGTCTAACAATGATTGATGGATGATTTCAAATGTGTGCAATGAAATGTCCTATTTTAAACAAATTAGTGGCTATTTATTAAGTTTCTTGTATATCATGCTGACAAACAGAAGAACATGGTTTTTCTTGCTTAAAGCAGACTATGGCATACACTAAACTAATGTGATCGATTTTTCATTTTTGTGAAGATTCTGTTCTTCTAGATGCATGAAACTGCTAGATTTAAAGTGCATTTTTCAATCAAATGCAATTAATTGTTTTTCACTGAATCACCTGTAAACTTAATAGACAGAAGCATTTTTTCGGTGTGTTAAAAGTTTTTTGCTTTTAAAATAACCTAATGAATAATCTATAGTCAATCAACATACAAGTTTGGTCGTTTCGTTAGGTGTAACAACATGCGTTTTAACAATTCATAAATGCATTCTATTTAATGTGCAATTTACAAAATGGAATTTCATTTCACAAATACTATTGTCTGCTCTCTACATGACGATTACGTCATAAACCAGATAGGAATAACGAAAACAAATAACATTTAGACGCAAATCACTACATTCTTCTTACATTATTTAGTGAATGTTTTATTGCGAAAATCTTTACCACATAAAATAACATAACTGTTATCGGTTTAGACACGATGACTGTGCTATGTATTGGCATTTGCAATGTCACAATCAATTACAAAATCATCTCTTTTTGCATTCACCTAGATTTCTCTGTCAATCCACTATATTTTTTTTCAATGTAAAATATGTGTTAATCGTATTTGTTCACCTTTTTCTTTCTCGTTCAAACAGTTGTTCAGTCCAAATAAACAGTCATAAAAATTACCATTAGAAATTAGCTTTGTATATGTACGTCTATAATTTATTTAAAACAGAAATATTCTTAATTTTAGTACAGATAACAGATTTTTCCTTCTGAAGAAAGACTAAAGACAGGTTATTTTTTTCTTAATTGATATGGAAATTATTAATTAACAACAGACTGAAAATGCTTAGGTGAATTAAACTGATTAGTTATTAATCTTGAATTTACTCCATTCTTTTTTTTAAATGTTAGTCAATTATTTCTCTTTCACTGACAGTGAACCGTCATCTCATTCGAACCCGACCATTAGTTAGAAACCAATTATTTAACTTAATCTAGTCAACAGTGACATACACTGAGTAAGATTTAGATTTTTCATGTCTAATGCAAAAGTTGTCATACGCTGATCAGTTGACATTGAGATTTTATTTCCCAACAAGAAAATCCTTCGCTCTGATTGGCTGCTGTGTATTTGAGTGTGCTATTTTTGTGACTGTCCCAAGGACGTTTCTATAAATAAACGAGATTTGTGTGCTTGATTGCATGGTGCTTGCTGGTTGTTTTTAGGATATACTTTTTACGCTTATAAAGAATTCTCTTCAGCCGTTTCAGATCAAGGTAGCCTACCTGGACTCTGGTTCATTGTCTCGTTCGCATTTATCGACTAAGGTGAAGCCGTAATGGTTTCAAGCGTACCTGTTGACGAACCTAACACCACTGGACCGACAACCAATTTGTCTAATGCTCAATCAGTTTGCGCCATCGCTCATCCATCTTTCATTGTCTTGGCTCATATCCTACAAAAATCAACTCCACTAGTCACGGTAATTTCGCGAAGAGATAGAATAGATGACCAATGGTGATCAACATAATCAAGTTCAAGACATCATATTTAGACATGTTTTCTATTGGTTTATAATTGATTGACTCACACGGCTAATTAAATATGGTAAATTCGATTCGTAATCAGGTCATGAACGTTTATTTTTGAGTATTTCCATATCAGAACAAATCAACCGTTTATTGCCTTCTGGATTTTAATTACTATCTAACATAGGTTTGAACTCAATAAAATTCAACAATCTTTACAAACAGTGAAATTAATATCATCATTTTCATCATCAGTAAGGGGTTGCGGAAATTTTTTAAATTTTATTAAAGACATTAAACAATCTAGTTTAGACTACTAGTAGAAATGTGGAAACATTAGCCGGTTGTTTCATCCGATTATTTCACTTATTAGTAGTGCCCACACCCGACCCTGATTCTGGGAATGAAATCCAGGGAATTCAGTCTCGTGCAAAAATACAGAGTTGGTATGCATTGGTGTTAGTGTCTAACTTTAATCAACCCACAATATATATATATATATATATATATATATATATATATATATATATATATATTAGTTCAAAAATTCTTATGCCTTAATTCTCAAAAGTAGTATAAATTAAAGTTAATCCATCTTCCTGTCTAACACAGGTGTTTATTGCCCATTAATTATTAGTAGACATAAGTAAAGTGGATATTTCTAGTTCTCACTTATTTGATGTCAAATATTTGAAGAGGATCAGCTGGAAACCCTATACATAAATTTAAGCTTGTTAGTAAGTAATACCACCTTGTATTAGAAATACTCAGTAAAGTGATGTTTCTCACAACACTGTTTTCGAGGTTTAAAACTGGACTTGTTATTTTGTCAGTTACATTTGTGAATATTGTTAACTATTGAGTTTACTAATAATATTTAAGCGATAAGTTCCCTAAGAAGTGGCTTAAACACTTAATAATGATATTTTCGAATCATCTCTGTCACCATAAACTGGAATATGAAAACTGTCAAAGTTCAAAACTATAGACACATTATGAACAAATAAAAGTACATAAAATGAGACTGTTTCCGACTGAGGATATTGGTATAATAATCATGAAATAGTAGAATTTGATTAATTGCAATAAACTGAATGGTGCTCACTTGATCTCAGACTAGCATGTCTTTTCCGAACTTTTCTCTCTATTGATTTTTAAATACTAATATTAACTGTACTATATTCAGTTGACTACGTAAAACAAGTTATGAGTTATAATTAGTGTATATATCATTTTGGCAATTCATTTTCTATACAGAAAATTGATTTATATAAGTGTCGCTTTTCTTTGTTTAATGTTTAAAATTTCCAAAAAAACCCTATTTCGCTCAAAATCTGTCATCCAAATCTTCTTTATTTATCATACATTATTCACCTTACTTACATTTGGTGTTAAAAACTAGCAGTTTAATTGAATAGGGAGCAACCGTATAAAGATGCATAAACCTTAATAGATAGTCAATCTAACTAACATTTACATTAATTACACTACCACTACGCAGTTGTTGATGTCTTGAGTAGAATAGCAAATTTTTATGCTCGTCACTTGATTTGCTTGAAACTATCACGAATTCACCTCAGTCGATAAACAAGAACAAGACAATGAATTAGTGACACGGTAGGCTACTCTGATCCGTTGACCAAAACTAACTAACGGAAAAGTCTTGATATATCGTAGAAAGCGTAATCTACAAACACCCAGCACACATCACAGAAACGTCCTTGGGACAATCACAAAAATAGCACACTAAAATAACGCAGAAACCAATCACAGCCAAAGATTCTCCTGGTGGGAAATGAAATCTCAGTGTCAAATGATCAGTCCGAAATTTAAGCATTCATCAAGTGATTTCTAGGGATCTAACATTCCCAACACAAATAATTCAGTACACTCCAACAATACAACCGTAAACGTTGCAATCTAAACCCCAGTAAACAGAAAATTTCAAGTCGTTTAACTCTACACTAACATAAATAAACAACACTACGCATCCAATCAACTTGATGCAAGTTTTCATTTTTGAATCTACATAATCCAAAGTTTCATTTGTTTTGCTATATTCTTCATTAATTGATTTCTAATCATTTGGTATATATATATATATATATATATATATATATATATATATATATATATATATATATAATAAATGACCAAACAAACTGTGTGTGTGTGACGAATTCTTGAAATAATTTCACAACAACAACAACAAAAATAATGAATTACAACGAATTATTCACTAGAATAAAGTAGTAGTAGTTGTTGTTGTAGAGCTTCAGTCAAATTTTTTTACTATTTATTGTTTATGCAATTAGCATTTGTTTACTTTGGACAGAATGAAAACAATTATTTTCGGAGGAAACTACTTCGAAATCATGTCACGAATGAGTTGAAATTAAAATTCAATTCGTCTATTTATTAGTAGGTCCACAAATTATTAATGAAAAAAAAACTAATCTGCGTTATGTGTAAATAAGAAGTTCCCTTTCCCACTGTAATTATATGACTACTGTTAATCCATTTAGAAATTTCATGTATACAAATAGAAAGCTGGAATACATCTTTTTTTTCATAATTTACTACAAAGTAATTAACATGTGAATATAAAAACTATCTATGAATAGTGCGAAATTCAGTAACTTGTAAACTATGTTACAAGGTATTGATCCAGAAGGTATCCGTTTTGTGATTAATTGTCATTTCTCAGTGGCGCACATTCATGATTTGCAAATAGGATTTCAGAAAATCAACTTCATCTTAAAAACTTAAGTTTATTGCTAAATTTGAATAGTTTAATAAGAAAACAAAGATTAACAGAACTATGTAATGTTGGGGCAAAGTTTTGGAGGTTTGTGTTTTTACACATTTGAAATCATCAATCAATCATTGTTAGACCACCATTAGAAACCTGAAAGCACTGACAGATGGCCGTTTAGTCCTGGAATGGGACTCATCAGCAGTGCACATCCACGACTATTTAATGTGTTAGAGCGATAAATTTTGGAAATTCATAAATAAATGTTATTAAGCTTTCTATACTTATTATTTTAAATGAGAAGTTTGATCAAACGAAATAAAATAATGAACGAATAACACAAAAAAAAACAATATCTAGTAAAACAACATTATTTTAAAAACAGATTAACTTACAAAAGAATCTATCCATGAGTTCACATCAGGTTGCATTTCAAAAAATAATAGTAATAATAAATTGTTGAAATCACCAGTTTTTTCAATGGTTTTTTGTTTCCGAAATAAATATTCAATATATTGATTTGAATCATTGAAAATAAATAATTGTTATCAGCATTATGACCATGATAAGGACAATCAAAATTTGAACAGTATTAGACATCGATAGGTTGACCATCAAGTGGTTGTAATTGTAGTTTTGGCGCATAGAAAAAAAAGAGTAAACAGGGAGAAAAAACGTTAAAAAAAAACTTAAACACAAAAATAATAAGCAGAATAAAATCAGAATAAAATTCATTTTTTTGTTAGAAGCTTAACATTTTGGCTTTGATCTGTCTTTTTTTCGCAGATGCTGTCAATCCTTAACAAATACAATTTTCACATTTTAACTAAATCTACGACTCGCAAAAATGAAAATACTAGAGTATTAGTACATTATAAACAATGTCTGTTAAATGATTAGGTATTTGCTTTATAAAGTTTAATAATAAAATATAGAATTTTTCAAAATTTTCTTTATTATTCTGACTATAACAATTCTGGTCTATCGGATATAATGAGTAACGAATACAATTCGGTTAGAATTAATTCTTGTACTGTTTTACACAAACCAGTTTTCACTTTGATATGGTTGACTCCATGGAAATTAATAATTTTTTCTAACTTACAATCTAGTTTTCATGGTTAGTTTATTTTTTAAGAACCAATTGCGTTATGTTACACTGACTTTTAAAAAATAAAGAAAATCGGAAGGCAAACAGCAGCAACAGCAAACACAAATCTACAATTCACTGGTCAGAGATAATAAATATATATTTAATTTTCACATGAATAAAATTTGAATAACATTTTCAAAATTATTTTGCCTTATCAACACAAATTCTCATCAAACTTAAATGCTGCTACTATATATCTAACAATTGAAAAATAAATTTGAAATTGAGTGTGTATTTCAGTTTGCAAAGAAAAAAATAACAGATTAGATTAGCGAGTTTGTTTTTACAAGAAAAATAAAAGAATTACATTTCGTTATCACGCAATTTTTTTTACACGCTAATTAATGAGTATATATGTTGAATGAAATAGACATTTGTAGTCTTTTTTAGTTAAGCGATCAACTATCCCTTTTTTATCACTACAGATTTACACACATGATAATTTTGGCTTATTTTTTTTTCTTTCTTCTTCTTCTTTCGTCTGTTGTCTAAACTATTTCTCTGAGATAAAAATTAAAGAGAGCAGATGGCTAATAGTAATGAATAGTTGGGGAAAAAAATAGAGGAAAACTTATATACATGCTGTGCCTCATAGTTCATGGTTAACATTTGCAAAAGTTTAAATCAAACAGTGTTTCAGATTTGTTTGTTTGTTTGTTCATTTTTCATGTAAATTCATTCATATTTTAGTGATTGAGTATGGTAAAATAAACAGGCACTGACTGATTGATAGTCATGGTGTATCATGAAGTGTGTAGACTTATACTACTAGTAACGGATTGTTCGATGAAAAGGTTGTTGTGGTTATCTACAGGTCCCAGTGTCCTCGACTCCATCCTATAAAGAACCGAAGTCGCTTCTTACTACTGAATTTCACACCAGGACAAAACGAGTGTTGATTGCCGCTCGGTTACATATTATTTTCTATATGACGATTGTTTGAAATGAAACTAAGCCTCAAAGCACACTTATTCCTCAAAAGAATAAATTGGAAATAGTCTGTGGATAGTGATTATTTTCTGAAGAAAGCGATAAAGTAATTTAGAAGTTTTTACAAATTATTGGAGACATGTTTATCAGATATAATTTAATTGATAACAATTATACTGTTCATTTGAAACGCTTCCGAATGGACGTCAGTTTAAAAACGGTACTACGCGGACATATATTAGCAAACAGTAGGAATAAAAGAAACTGTTACATAACCCTCAAATAAGTTTTTAAATCTACTTCAATTGAACATTTGAGTAGACCACGTCAGTAAAATTAAATAAATCGCTCATGATTTAGCAGAGTTCCATTAAAGCACATTACAGTCAACAACAATTCTGTAGCATTTGACGAATTCCTTAGCTCAATGATTTAAGGCCTGGAAAATTCAAGCATAAAGTTTCTGAGATTATACAATGTTCGATTAGTCTATCTCTTTAGGAAAATGATTGTATATAATCTCTTTACTAAAAGGAGAAATAAGGCGTGTTAATAGAACAATGTTCAACATAAATTGTCTAGGAAGTGATAATACAGTAAAAACTTCTAGTATTTTCGTCAGCATGCCTTCTGTATATTTTTGATATTTCTCTATATTGATGATACATAAACACTTGAATCAAACTAACATTAAAACAGAATTTAAATCAGACAAGAAGTACAGGATTAGTAAGATAACATGAATTCATTGTATTTCAATGCTTCTTATCAGCATTACACCAATAATATGAATACGATCATTTTATTTTTTCTATTACACACCATAATCAATAAAGCTGGGTTTGCAAAAACATAATTATTTAGCATATATTAGTTAAGGTTGATTAGTTTTCATATGTGGAAGGTGAGGTCACAGAAAGAATTGGGTCTTTTGGTATCGATCCAACTTGTTATGTTAAATAAGTTATTTCATTCATGTTTCTTTTGATTCCCTTTCGAACAAAATTTCGTTGACTATGAAGAATGTTTTAAGTGTTTCATTATAAAACTACTTAGGTAAATTTAGGCCATCTGCAACTGATGCGCAACAATCAAAATATAATGAATTTGTGGTATTCTTCAAACACTTTCTTTAAATTTATTAAGGAATTATGATGTACATACACAATATTCACAATTCGTTCCCATGTTTTTTTGTAAACGAAAATCGCAGTGATGATTATACGAACACAAAAAAGAAATCAGTTTCTTACTCACAAATAAATATGCTTTAATTTTGTAAAACATATTTTGTAAAGCATATTTTCTATCCAAGTGAAATTTACCTTATTTAACCTTTTTGGTTATAATTTAATTAGCTTTCCTACTTAAAAATGAAAATAGTACGACAAATTCAGGATTTTCAAAAATTTTTGTGAATAATCACAAAATCTAATTTTCAAATTAAATTATACATAATATCTTACTCTCATGAAAATACATTACTAAGAAATATTCTAATCATAAATAAGTCAGTTGATGTAAGATTAATTGCCGTCTTATTGTGTCGTCAAAATAGGAAAGTATTGAAAATATAACAACAAACTGCTGACAAAAATACTAAGAGTTTTCATTTCAATAACACTTCTCAGCCACTTTATGCTGATCAACGTTCAATGAAATGACTATTTCTCTGTAAGATAAAGGCACAATATAAGCAATTTTTCAATGCCATAATTTACCACAACAATGTTGTAAGATACTACTTGAATTTAACCTGTCTCATTAAATCTTTGTGTAAAGAGGTGACCTTACCCGTTATGAAATGTAGGCAATGATGTTATGAGGAAATATCGGTCGAACTAGATCATTAAATAACAGTTCGATAAGAAAGTTGATTTATCACCTCACGGGAATATTTTTAACATAATGCTTATCACAAAAGAACTCCAGTCACTATTATTACAGATATACGTTACATGACTTTAGGCTGATATACCATACCAATAATAGTCACAAATGTTCACTGAATAGTTTTGCGACTCAAAATGTAACATTTCAATTAAGCATCATTATTAAGCATTATTATTAACGAATTATTTTACGTAAGAAAAAAACGGCGCCTTATCATTGTCAATATGTATGAGCTTCAAATGATATGATCATTGTAAATCTACTGTATTTGTTGTCTAATGTTTAGCCAACCTCAATATTGTTCTACCCAATATTACTTTTAGAAATCCTAGACTGTCAAAGCTGGCTTAAAATAGACTTTTATTGGTCAGTGCTAAAGAAACATCACTAATGTATTTCCCTTTATCTTGACATTTCACCGAAAGCAGTGTAATGTTGGTGGTATATTGCTTTTTTTTAAAATACAAAAATTTTTTAACATCAAAATCTATTCACTAATTTGTCTCATTTGTTACTTATTTTTTATTTCTGACGTAAACAAATTTGATGTACAGATATTCAATACAGAAACTCTTAGAAGAATGATAACAATTTAAGACCTATCATAAAAATCGCCAGCAAAAGCAATTAAATTTTTATAAAGAAATGCATTTAATATTTTGGAAATCTTGATACCCAATGCAACTGTCTCCTATGTTGATATAGAACATATTAAATGTGAACCTTTTGAGTCTCTGTTAAAAATGCCAACAACGGTTCTGTTAGAGAACAAATCTTCCATTCCCTTCAATTTGTACGCTTACTAATGTTTAGTTCAAATGAAATCTCAACGTTGCCTCAAAACAAAAACTGGTTTTTTAATGATTCCCGTTGGATGAGAACTGATAGGAACCGGGATTCGGTAATCAACTACGTCATCCTAAGAACTAATATAATGCAACAGTTAATCATTTGACGTTAGTTTTTGAGAAAAGTCAACTTTTCAAAAACAAAAATTAATCTTCATGAACTTTTCGTCTGATAAATCGTAAAGAGTACCAAACAAGAGTTTAATTATTGCTTATATATTGCCCAGTAGTAATGTTTAAAAAGGTGAAGCTGATTGATATAATAATGAAATCATCATTTGTGTCGTGATTTCAGGTACACTTTGCTGAAACATGTCAACTAGTACGAAATTTAGATTCAGGGTTCCTCGTCGACTTATGTTAATCAACCGAAACTCTTCACGTTCCTTTCCTCTCTCTCTCACTGCACATGTACAACCATATATATATATATATATATATATATATATATATATATATATATATATATATATATTCAGTTTTAATTTTTATCGTTTTCAACATTCGATAGCATGGTTTAATATCAGATGTGTACATAAGCTTTGATAAAATTCTTTCCTAATTAAAACTATTTCAGTAAGATTAAAATAAATAATTCTAAACACTTCATCTAAATTCCAACAGATGCTATGAAGGTGGCAATCTCAAAAAAATACAGTTTATCACAAAATAATCAATGGGTCAGGATATAAATGTCCATTGAAAAGTTGTTTTTTTTTGTAGCTAATATCAATTTTTATAAAATACTAGACTCACATTATAATCATCCGAATTGTAAGAGCTTAAAAACTAAGTCACAAATTACATTTAAACGCATACACTTGAAAATTAAACAACTATTGACAATGGTCACAGATTCAAAAAAAATACGAAAAGATCGAAGAAAATCATCAACAATAACAAAAAAAGTATAGTAAACTGACCTTTTACTGGCAAAATTATTTGTAACTCGTGTAGTTTGCTTTCTTGTACCGTTATTATTATTATCATCCATCGTTGTGGTTGTTGTAGTAGTAGTGGTTGTTGCTGAACCGGAACTATGTGTTGTAGTGACAGTTTTTGTAGTTATAGTAGTGGCAAATTCATGATTGTTAATAGGATTGTCAATATCATAATCTATCCTATCAGTAGTTGTATTCTGTCTAGTTGTATCATTAAGATTTTTTCGAAATTTTTCATGTAGACTTGATAAACTAAACGATTGATGAAAATCTTTTGATAATTTTGTATTGTTATTATTTTTGGCGTTCACATCACTGATGGAGAGATATTACAAAAAAAAGTAAACAAATAATTATAGACTTGCGTTGTAAAACAAATAAGTGGATAAGGAAAATCTATTTTAACATTGAAACACTTCTAATGAGATTGCATGGTTGTATGGAAATAGTAGTTTAGCTCTATAGTTGATTCATGGGTAATTTTATATGTAAAGATACGTATATTGGTGATTGACAATCGATTAGTTGTTAAAGAAACTAGAGCTTTTGATTCTGATAAAATGATATTGATCAACTTCCAGTATGGCTATTGGTGTGAGTGATTTGACATAGTGTTCAATATTTTGAGATGTTAGGTAACTGGAAGTGGCTGTTGAGAAACCGTAGATCTGGTATCAGACTATTTAGTATTCGTCAGCAAGCTGTATCTATAATTGTGTGGCGACAGGTTTACATGAACTCGAAAAAATCTGATTTGTTAATAAATGAACTTATTCAACCATTGTTCTAACGAGTAATTTTTAGGCTAACGTTATGGAAACCAGTTTAATGTGTGGATTTCAATTGGATTTTCATTGTTGCTTTATCTGCGTAATGATCCATAAATGAGCGAAGTTTTTCGGTATCAGCGAAGATGATAAACTTTGGAAATTTTATTGTAAGATGGCTAAAGACGTGCATTTATTATTTGAAATTTATCCTTCAACATTTTTAAAGTGCACAAATCAACAGTTGTAATCTCCACATTAGCTATATACTCCGTTGTCATAGTTGTAACATATGAAAACCACAAGTATACTGGACTTGAAAAGACTGAGTAATGCTCAAGTTTTTGAATTATGAAAAATATATTCGGCCTTTATGAAGATACATTCTAGAAAGTAGGTGGTCGTAAAGCCATACTCTTCAACTTACTGAAAATGCAATTTATACTAATCAGTTCGTCGCATACCATTTTATTAATGAAAAGAGGTTTTTCTTTCTGTCAAAATTCTTCCATACTGTTATGGGTGTACAACCTCTATAAGAGATGTTTTACACCCTCTCTTTACTTGATAAAATAGCTATTTGCCAAAGTCATTTTGGTGCGTCGTGACAACCGATCAATATTTTAGTTAACCCCATCAATTATTAATAATTATGATTCAACTTCAATGCCTTAAACAGACAACGTAGTTGTTATGACGTGTACTAGAGTAAACAACACTGTTCCTAACTTTAACGTCTTACTTGCTAAGAAATTTGACTTTCATAAAGCAGAGGTTTTCTTCAAGCAAACTTGATTTCGATTCGTTAATTGTATTTTCATGGTCTCATTTAATTCAGTTATAATTTAAAGGCTCTGACATAAATTTGATTTATCCTCCCTAATATTTCTCCAGCTACTATTCAATAATGAGAGCCAGTCTTTCTTAGAAAAAATATCACAAACTCATTAGTTACTTACCCATTACTTGTAAAAATATTTGGACTCATAGCTTCACTTCCAGTTGCGTAAAATGTAGCGGTAGCTGCAGTTGCACTGACTGTTTTTTTTGTAGTTGTCTTTGTAATAGCTTGTTGAGGTAATACACTGTCAGGCGATTGTTTTAATTGTGCCACAGTATCTGGATCTATATCGCCGATAGGTGTTACATTTTCTTGATAAATAACTTCAGTTTGTGGAGGAATAATAGCTAATGTAGCTTGAGCTAGGGAATTACCATCGGTTTTTTCCGAGCTGAATTTTGTAAAATTAATAATGTTTGGCATATCTGAATGATTTTTGGCGTAAGATGATGACTGACTAGATTCTGAATTGGCAGAGAGATTTTTCACTTTCACTTTACGTATTCTTGCTGTTGTCAAGACGGTACGTGTTGTTTTTTTCGTTGTACGCTTTAAACTACCATCTGGATTTGTAGTAGTAGTAACTATTGTGTCCACTATTTGAGTTGGTGGAATTGTTGAAGTGATAATTTCTCCTTCTGCAATAGTATCATCATCACTGTCATCGATATATACAGTAGGATCACCGACTTCTTCTACTTTATTCTCGGATAGTTCAGTTGTAATATTCTTGTTGAATGACTGGTTCGATTCCGAATCTGAATTCATCAACAGAAAGATAATTAATGGAGTATTAAATTTAACTACTCAAAAGATATATTATTAATACCTAGCTATGTCATATTTATATAAAGTATACTCAGCAAAACTCTCAAATAATTAGAAAAATGAACACTGAGTAACTGATCATTCAGCCATAATTGTATTGGATTCATAAATATTTATTTATGACGGTAAGTATGAAAGTAAATTTGGTAAGAAAAGAATTGCACACAGAAAATTTCACTCCTCTTTAAAGTCAATTATACTTTATAAAATAATTTTTATTAAATATGGTAACTTCTCCAGAAATAGTCTCAGAATAAGTTAAATTTTCTTACTTTTGTCATACTTGTGTTATGGAGACTTAAGCTAGATCATCATAGCCATACTGGGCATCTAATCAATGTCTTTCTATCGGAGATTATGTTTACGGTAACTATTATTTCTGTGAATGTTTGTCTTGACTGTAAACAGGTTTACCGTAAACCACTTAGTTCTTGTCTAATGAAGTATGTTTTCCATTTCAATCAATTTTTAATAGGCACTTCAGTGTTTACAACGAGTAACTGAGTCTATGAATACTCCCCTTGCTCTTTAATTCAGATAAAATTTGTACTACATTTTAGAATATTACATAATTCCAAGTTAACAACATGCCATCATGAATTTATTCAAATTTCACAAAAATACCTCCTGAATGAACTAAACAATTTTAAGCTTATTAGTTCATATTAAAAATCGCTCTCTTTATTCAGTTTCATGAACAAAAAGTTTGGCAAATTCACAGAATGATTGAAAGGAAAATGTTCAAATCATTAAATTAAATATGTTATTATTTCATACGGTGCGGATTTATTAATAATAATTCTATTCGAAGAGAATTTTTGTACTGTTTTATACAAAAAGAAACCGCTGACAATCTGTATGTGGAGCGCATTTATTGTTGGATAAAAATTGGTGAAAGGATTGATTTTTATGATAGTGAATAGTTAACAAATACATTTAGCACAATTAACAGAATCACTAACCTACTACATTTTTTGAGTCTCATTTTTAGAATGAGATGAACTCATTCATCAGGATAAAATTTCTATTGAAGTGGTTATTTTTCCTAAGGTGACTAACACTTAGTCTTATCGAAATATTATTTGATTGACTTTTCATTCTATAAAAACCATTGATGTATTAAACTCGTATATTTAATTTCAAACTCAACTGGAAATGGAAACATCCAATTGGATGTTGCAATCATCAATCAATCATTGTTAGACCACCAGTAGACACCTAGTAGCACTGGACTACCGTTTCGTCCTTGTTTGGGACACGTCAGATGCGTACAGGAGTTGTGAATGCTCACGGCCTTTGAGTCCCATACCAGGACGAAACAGCCGTTCAGTGCTTCCAAGTTTCTGATGGTGGTTTAACAATGAGTAATTGACGATTTCAACGTCTGAAGACGCTGAAAAAACATCCAATTAGATTTTTTATCGAGTACAAGAAAACCTGTTTTGAATGATACTTTTTTTTAGTAAAATGACTTTCAGTAGTCCAGTTTGTAAAATAATGATTATTATTCAAAGCTCCTCCCTCAGAAGCTCTAATGCATAGACGTATTCACCAATGACATTGAAATATGTATACCCACTATCTTAAACTACATAAATCTTCAGAATGTAAGCTACTAAATCAATCTCATCTCTTATATCAAGAGACCTGATAATCTTAAACTTGATCTTGATAAAAGTTTTGACTCTTTATCACTGTATACTTCAAAATCAGGAAAGAAAAATACCTACCCATTTGAAAAACTATTTTACTATTACCAACGAAATGTTTTATTGTAAAATTCATCTAACCATTCTAAACTTATCTAAACTTACATCTATGGAATATTAATAATGTCACGCAATTTGTTTTGAGACGAAACTTGTCTACTTAACAATTTTATGAATAAAAAAAAAGTGAACTGACTTCTCTTTTTTTAATTTAATAACACAATGGGTTACAGTAATTTTATGAATGTATTTTTCACTTTACATCGTTCTATCATACATATGCAGTTTTTTGTAAAACAGTGGGAAGTCATATGATTACTTCTTCATTTATTTATATCTGATATAAATCAAATCTTATGCCTTTTTTTTCTAATCCTAAATTTAACTTGGGCGCGGAAAAAAATTCAACGCTTTTACTGTGATGTTTAATCATATTAGACTGACAATGAGAAAAAAAATCAGTTTGGTTAATGTATAACTGAAAGAATATTGGAAAAAAATATAGTAGAATTAACTATTCAAAATGTGGTTTTTCTATTTTTAAGAAATTATTTATATATTACTTTAATAATTTTGAAAAAATTCTAGTCTCCTTGAGGTCTTTTCATTTCTTTGTACTATATATAGATATATATACATAAATATATAGCAAACATCTTTAATCACTCAGTAAGTAAAATCTTTAACTTTCATAATTATCCTAAGAGTGTATTTCTGCTCTATTCATGACTCGTTTATTTTTGCTTAAAAAACTGACAGTCAAACGAGGCAAACCTACTTCATTTACATACTTCAGTGAGATTGGTAATCTTTCATGAAATTTAAGTATACTCTAGTATTGATCATTGATCATCATTTTCTATTTAAGTTTTAAGTATTATGTCATTCAATTGCTTTCTAAGCAGATAATGCAATTTTATACGTGTGAATATATTAACAGTGTTCAAATATGTGTTTTGTAATAAAACAATGAAATAATTGATATTTAAATAAATGATTATTAGTACGGTCATTTATTTTATTTCAAACAAAAACTAGGTAGCGTTTTAATGAAATTCTTTCTTGAACAAGTCATATCATAACCACTAAGTAGATAGGAACTAGTAATTTCAAATGCCTCGTTAGATCTTAAAACTCCTATCATCAACTTTCATGATATGTTTGCTATCATCGAAAATTGTTGATATCTAATAGAAATATAAAAGAATATAATTATTGTATGGTTTTCTCTGTTGTCAAGAAATCTATATTTTTTCGGAAGCTTTGTGTTCTGACTCGTTAGATGTTTATAATAATGGAGCCCATATAAGTTTGATTACAGATTGAAGATTAAATAAATATTATCAATCAGCTGAGATGAAACTACCATTATGTTTCAAATTTTCATCTAAAAACCAACATTTAAACTCACATTAATGTTTTCATGAATAATTTTATAGAACACTCTATGAAATACACATGAGTGAAGTTGAATGTACTTAAATGACTTACATAATGCTTACTTATGATTAACAAAACCGATTACATATCTAACCATATTTATTCATACCAACCTGATCATTGATTCATATCAAACAAACATACCATTAAAACTGTCATTCCCAGTATAAATATATTTTAATATTTCAGCCTTAGTAGTTAAAAATCAGATTAGAGCACAAAAGTACTATCGTTAACAATAATAATTTATTACCTTATGATCATAAACTGCCCTAATTAGTTTAATATTGTCACATCAAACTATCCGAATACATCAGACCTACAGCTTGATGAAAATCTAACTGAAAATAAAATATTGTTTTGGTTCGTATGTACTGTTAGTATTTACATAATGGTGAATTATAACAACAGTAGTCTATTAACCTATAATCTTAAATTGCTCTAATTAGTTTAATATTGTCACATATCTAAATATCGTTATAAATTAGAAGTAAATCTTGATAAAGATCTTGTGGCGTTGCACTATCCTACTCTAACTGTTAGTATTCTCATAAGGGTGAGTTATAGTAACTTAAAGGCATACTGTTGTGTAAAATCAAAAATTTATTGACAGTTAGAAACTGAATACTGTAACTGATGGTTGATTTATATTGTTTTATTAACGACTGTTTACACTAGGAATGACGTCGTTCTTATTTTTGTGATCGAACTATGTTAAAGAATCATTGAACACCATTTGACACTGAACATCTATAGTGTTCTAAACAAATACTTCACAGCTTTGCACACTCAAGACTTCTAGACTTCGTGTCCAAGCTTAAACCTTTGAACCATTGAACACAAACCCAATATTGGACAGTTATGATTAAGAGGATAAAACAACTTTTTAAAAAATCTCTGGTTTTAAACGGCCCTTAAGGAGATTAACAGTCTTTAATAGAATCTAACCTCATATGAATAAATTATTATGAACCTCTGTCCCACTCTCTGTCATTTTTATTTCATTTTAATATTTAAATTTGCTTATGGAACTTGGGCAACCGACCTAAATCAAATAAAAATATGATAAATTTACTTGGTTTAAATCAATGATATATAACTATCGTATTTTTGTATACAGATTAGACTTTGTAAATTATATTTGGAATATTGCGTATAATATCCGTCTTTATTGTTTCCTTGTTATCATAAAATGTAATAATTATATTGGAACTAACTCCAACAAAATCTCTTTGTTTGAAATCGCTACACAGAGTAAAATAACTAACTATTCATCTGTAAACAATCTTAAACCCTTTCCGAATAAATATGAAATATGACTATTCTTCAGAGAATTAAAGGTTGTTTTGGTTATATTGTGAAATGAGATGATTTTTTTAGGAAATCTCTTTTATTTTCTTACGCTTCTCCTTATGATAAAGTTATTTATTTCAAATCCACTTAACTCGGTTTGTCAACTTTCTGTGTTGATGTTGTTGTTTTAATGTTTTTTTTTTATCTTATCAAAGTTGTTGCTTTATTACTTGTAACTGAATGATAAACTACCCATCTGGTTTTGTTTATTTCAGTGTATGTGATTTTCTTGCTCCGGTTTTATTTTTTCTCCTATTACGAGAGTTGTCAGTATTGCTATGATTGATGTCACCGTTTTGCGACAATACAGATGTAACATTAGAATTGTTTTTAATGTTCCATATTGTTTACTTACTACTTGAAAAGTTTGACAAAGTTAACTTTCTGTATGACCTTGTGATGGAATGCAAGACAGAAATCAATATTAA